CCTCCCTCCGAGCGTTGCAGTTTTTTTGTTTCTTTCTTTCCTGGCACCCGTTACCATGCACAATCATTCACAGACTGGAGCTGCCGGCTTCAAGCCATGAGTCCGGGGCTTCAGGGGCTGCGGAAAGTGGGTGGCAAACTCGAAGTCACTGCCAAGCAGAGGCGAAGTTCGTAGCCGCCTGCATCAGTAGGATGCCAGGCCTTAGGGCTTGCAGGGTTAGTGGCGTCAGCGCAGGAATCTCAAGCTTCCAGCAGCTCAGCAGCCCGGGGACATATCTGAACATGCTGGGCCTGATGTACTGTAAAGTATGGTAAAGTATGTAATACTCATTTTCGCAGGCTTGCGAATGACAGCACATGACGATTGGCGTCTAAGATAGCGGGAGCAGAGAGATCGTCTCACTGCTGAGATGGCTGGAGATTCTTGCATCTCAGGGGTCGGCTTTGGAGAATGAGCAAGATGTGACCTGCAGACACGACTCGCGGCCGGTGTAAATGTCGTTCTGATCGTCCTTAGTAAGAGACATACTTGCACATGCACCGACACGTAAGAGAGTTCCTTTCATCCTGTTGTCAGCCGCATCAAAAGCCAACGCACCCAATTCGGAAGGCCCTTCCGCCCCCACACGTAACACCAAGAGCCTTTGATCCCGCAAGAGTCAGTGCTCTGACGGTTGGAAACCTGTAGAATCTTGCTAGTGCGCCAGAGAACCCCCAGAGCATAGCTTCTCATATGGGAGTTTCCGAAAATTGGGGGTACCTTATTTTGGGGTCCTTATAATAAGGATCCTACTATTTAGCGTACTTTATGAGGGTCCCCTATTTTCGGAAACTCCCATATGAATTGATGATCCATGGAACACCCGTGGAGCATGTGCACGTCTCCAATCATCCATGTTCCGGAGCAGTACTGCACGAGTCGGCGTCAGAAGCAGAATATGAATCCTGGCATTGTGTGTACACCTTATGATCTCTTGGGAGTCACGCCGGCACTTGCTATCTTCACGGGTAATCACCCGTAACACCAAGTCTTGTCCACCTATGAGAAACCGTGCGTAGTAAACATCGAGTCTACTGCACCTTCCCGACTCCAAGGCGTATCAGTGTTGCCTCGCAGCTGGTGCCGGGCCGGTGCGGAACATTACCAGAATTCAACGAAGCTCCTGTCGTTTATGAGCCCTGCAACATGGATTCCCATCATTGAGCCCTGAGGGCCACAGGGGTAATCTTCGCGTCCCGACTGGTGTAGTTCAGGATTGCAGGGTCCAGGGGAGCAGGTCTTGGCCGAAGGAAGCCAAAGGTTTTCAGCTACACCAGTATAGTCCGATCGCATGTGCTTCTGGGTTCCGGCGCGGGTGCACCTTAGTCCAGCCCGCAGTCCCAGAAGATTGATTCCATTTTCAATGTCTGAGGGTCCAGCATACAACTCTGAACCAACCATCGGAGTCTGCAATGCAAGATGGCAGCTGTAGCTTGACCCTTGCTCATGTTATGAATGTTGGACCCTCGGAAATGTTAAGAGCGCCATCGATGAAAACACTAGATGTTTGTCTGTCTATGTTTCGCCGAATACAGCACAGTATCAGACTATGAAGCTTTCATGTATGTAGTATCCGTATTAGTAGCCCCAACACGCTATCACTATGTATATATGTATAGTCACGAGCAACTACCGACTCACTGGTTGGGGTATTATTGCACATTATTTCTATGTCTCACGACATTGGCTCTGGCACCATCGAGGGTTTGTTTGGTTCTGTGTCAGCCGTAGCCTAAAATTGGGGACCAAAAACAGATAAGCAGAAACTACATGGTGAAATCTAGCTCAGGCATCTGAATGTAAGCTTCTGAATTCTATAATACATGATTCACAGAAGTCATGCGCAAGAGCCCTGGCTCCTGTTGTTGTGGGAGCGGTTGCCCAAGTCTGGGTAGCATTAGCATGGTCGCCCTGAAGATATTGAAAGGCAATCAATGTGTTCATTTGTCATCATGCGGCTTTGTCCGGTTTTGCTATTTGGGAGTTTCCGAATATTCGGGGTACCTTATTTGGGGTCCTTAAAATAGGGATCCTACTATATAGGGTACTATATTAGGGTCCCTTATCTTCGGAAACTCCCGTTTGGCTGGGCCATGAGGCCGAACACGGCTTCGACTTCAAACCCTCCATGCTGGATCCATAGCTCAGGAATGGCTGAAAGTTGCATCCGACTCCCCGGCGAAGCAGGCCAAGATGTTGGGTTTGGCGAAGAAGCCTTGGGCTTTGGCAGTTCACAGCATGCCGACATGCATGCCAAGAAGTGGACACTGCAAGAGACAAGCCAGTTCCAATCTAAACACCCCAGCACTTCCGCAGAATCATACCCGAGAATCCAAACGCTATATGCTCCGAAGGTTGCATAAACAAAGACTCGAATGTCAAGGCTGAGTGCCCTGAACCTGGTGATTACCCAGGAAGTGTAAATGGAGCCCCCAAGATGCTACAAAGGCCGTGGTGTCCCTGGCAGAGCTGAAGTCAGGAGAATTGCGTGACACAGGCACGCTGGGCATGGTTCTTTTCCTTGCCCGTGCTTACCAAATTTTGTAGCACATGTGCTGTGGGCACCTAGAACCTTGTTGTTTTGCTTTGGCATTTCTTCGGTGACTTGCATGACTTTACGACTATGTTCACATCTGTCCTTCCCGACCATTTACTCAAAAGTCATGCCACTCCAGGTGGCAAGGGCTGCCTCGCTGCTTGGCAAATACCAACAAAGCAGTGAAGACCTAGCGATACAAGAAGAGCCGCGAGGGTGTTTCTGCGATCATGGCAACGTACGTACTCTCACTGGTAAGGTGGTTTGGCCTCTTTCCCAGGTTCGCAACTGCCAGGTGGTCTTTGCAGCTGGGTCGACAGTCTATAGGCAGACTATACCCTCACTGCCTCATCCGTAGTAAACGTGCCCTAAACCGCAGAGAAATCCATACTTTGGTTAAGATCCAGGAGATCGATCCGCCCAGGGCAGACACAGATCCTTTGCTTTCATACCCATGCAATTAGATAAAGAGCTCTACTGCAACATAAACTATAATACATGCTACAATATTGCACAGTACAATACGGCATACCATAGCACGGTGTGATACGATGCAGTGTAATATGGTATAGTAGAACATAGCATACACAATGTACAGAATGATAAGATAAACAAATGCAGCAGTGTACATACTACGCCGCTTTAGAATGTCCGTTATAGACCTCAAGGTAGTATGTGTTTGAACATACAACATACTCTTTTATGTAGTATAGAATCTTGATTATACAGTTTTCATAGCATAGCATATGATATTATGCTGTATGCAGCCATCCTGTTGAGGCTCTGGTGACGCAAGTTGCAGGACCGGTACTGGCGTGTGGTGGCGATGAGAAATACGGGGGGATGGAGCGGAGCAGGATTTAGGGTTCGGGGTTTAGGGGCTGGCATGTCGGCTTCGGTCAAGATGATTGTGGGTCGTAGACTGGCTAGACTTTGAGTCTAGTAGCAAAAAGGGTGGAAGTTCCCAATGTTCCGGGCGAGAGAAGCCTGCGGCAAAAAGGGCCAAGGGCAAGGTGCAACCGAAGAACATGAGCTGTTGCAGACGTGGCTGCGTGCGTTATGAGAAGGTGTTGACTTCACGCTTCTGTCGGTTTGGGAAGCCGGGAAGCCCTTTCCAAACAGTGTATCGGCCACTCCGTCTTGTCCCTCTGAGAAGCGTTCTCCACGCCTTCAACCCCAACCCCAACACTACAAAAAAATGCCGCAGGACTCGAGAGCGCAAAGGAAGTGGATAAGCTCGTTCCTTAGGGATACTTAGAAATGTTTTTTTTTTTTTAATTTTTTGGTTATTATAATCCCAAAGAAACAGCTAAAATCATAATTTTTGCTAGGGTTCCTAAACCCTAAACCCTAAACCCTAAACCCTAAACCCTAAACCCTATTCTAAGTTCAGTATAGGTTCGGCTGCTTCGGGTCCTCCGAAGGCGCTTCATCGAGCATGGCCTCGAAGGCCGCGGCTTCTTCCGCTTTCGAGTCGGAAGGAACTAGCCAAAGGCCCCAAAGTAGTTCCTTTTTGGGGTTCATATATAGAATCCTATTAGCCTATAGGGTAATCCCAAAAAGGAAGGAACTAAAACTCGGACCTAGAGTAGGCCCTTATTCCCTGTTTTTAGGGTTCAGGTTCCCTTATAAGCCCATTTAGACCAAAAAGGGCACCCTTTTTGTTCCGAGGCTACTTTTGGGTCCAGAAAACTGAGAAGCTGGGCATTGATATCTAAAGCCTATATAAAACTTGAACCCCTAACAGTAGCAGTAGTAGTAGTAGTAGTAGTAGCAGTAGGATATCTACCCAAAGGCCCCAAAGTAGTTCCTTTTTGGGGTTCATATATAGAATCCTATGGGGTAATCCCAAAAAGGAACTACTTTGGGGCCTCCGGGTAAAGCCTATAGTTGTGTGTCAATGTACTTGTGATGCCTGTGTACATACCTGCAAATGTTGACGTTTGTGCCCCTGTGCCGAAACCATTCGGACGTCACCCTTTGCTTCATCAGCTCTCTTGCTGCCGTTAGTAGTACTGTTTCTCTCAGGTGTTTTGATGATTGCACTTGAGTGTTGTTCTGGTCTGCCCTTGATTGTCTGTTATATGTGTATGTATGCCTAGTGCATCAGTGCATGTAGAGGATATGTCCACAAACGTCGACATGCTTGCCTCACTTGTCGACTTGACTTCGCAATACTTCGCAGACAAGCTCCTGATACGCCAGCCCAACACGTAGCCCAATGCTGCACTGAGTAGGAATGCCTGCAAGGATGTAGGAAGTCGTGCGAAAAGTTGCCAGGTTGGGCCGTGCGCTCTTCCGCACTCTGGATGCATTGGTATGCTTGATGCCAGCTGAGCTTACTGTGCTCTAACTGACATCTCTTATGAGCGACTTGCGTTGGCAGGGATTGGACATGGTACCGCATGGCTTGCGAATTACATTCATGTCAGTCGTTGCATTGCACGCGCCTGCTGTTCATTCGGGAGAAGTTCTGAGTCCTGAGGCAGTGAACGAGATGGTCGCTTGCCGCAGTATTTGGGTCGTTACCGTGTGTAAGGTTTGCTGTTGTAGAGAGGCTCGACGGCTACTGGTCAACTTGTGCCCTTGGGTTCGACCTGGCAGCCGGCATTAAGACCTGCATGTCTTTATATCCATCTCCAGATTCATTGTTTTTCAACTAGCGAACAAGCTAACTCGCGAGTTAACTAACCAGCTAAATCAAAACCAGTAAGCATTGGCTGATTACCTGTCTGTCTGTCTATGTGTTGGTTCTTTTATGTATCGATCTCCCTAGCTTCCTATCTCTTTATCTCCAGTATCTCTATCTGCATCCGTATCTGTGTCTACATATACATACACACACATTATATATATATATACATATGTATCAGCCTATGTACACATAGATCTAGATCTACACCTCCGCGTGTCTCTTTGCCCAGCTTAATCAGACAAGGGAGGGCCGGACAACTCGCAGTTCCGAGGAGGGTAGCTCTCTAAACTGGGGTCCCTTTCAGGGTCCTTTTCGTAACGGTGCCGTACCACATGGGAGGTTCCGAAAGTTAGGGGTACCTTATCTTGGGGTCCTTTTAATAAGGATCCTACTATTTAGGGTACTATATTCGGGTCCCCTATTTCCGGAAACTCCCCTATTAGAAGCCTACAGAGGGACCCAAACTTCTAGAGAACTCCTTAGGATCTTTTTCTGCGCAAGATGGTCCTGGTTCTGGAGGAGGGGGGGCGAGGCAAGGATGCCAGGAGCCCTGCAGAGAATCATGAGTACCAGGTGTTAAATTTCAATATTCAGGTCATAAAAAAAATCTGCTGAAATTAAGCTTCTTGCGAAGGTTGCTTGTGTACGAGGTGCCTGGTTGGACAGTGCTGACGTCTAAAGGCAATCATCCATGTTGAGTCCTTTCACGGGTAGGTAGCTCTGTCCCAGATCTATCATAAACCTCTGCTTGGAATACCCGGTGATGCTTTCTTGCTGCTATTTAGCATCCCGACTGGTGCTTGATTTTTCCTACGCAGTCCCTTGCCACATTCCTTCTGACTTCATTGTGTGTCAAGAAAAAAGGACTTGAAACAGAAAAAAGCTCGCCTTTGTTTTTACATACAGCTGAATGCCGGACCGTAGTCCTTTGCCTTAAGCTTAACCGGTTTGTCTTGCCTGCAAGATAAGGAGAAATCTTCTCTGCAGAGGAACATAGCGGAATCAAAACTATGCTTCAGCAGAAAACTCGTCATTCTATGTGACAACATACATTTTATCGGCAGACATTTCCTGAGGCAGAATTTTGTGAAAGAAACAGTTTGTTGTCTGATAGAAAGCATCTTTTTGTTTACACGAAAGATTTGTCACGGTAAATGTTATTGTTAAATCTAAAACTATTGAAATCTTTACTTTGGCAGATTTTACATAGTCTTTCTAACTTACCTTAGCAGCCTTTTTTAAATAATGTTCATGTTTTTCTGATATTTCTTATTACAGCAGTGCCAGCAATTCATTTTATAAGGGAAAGATTTTTTTGCTGCGCATTTACTTTGGCAGTTATTTTAAATACTTTTTGTTTTTATTTTTCGAAAATCTGTGTTTCAACAGATCAGTTTATAAACGCATTTTTGGTTTTTTTTTTGAAAAAAATAGTTCAGCAGATTTTTTTATAAATTTTTTTTATTTTTATTTTTATTTTTTCCAGCAGATTATTTTTATAAAAAAAATCTTTTTTTTATTTTTTTCAATTTTTTTTTCCAGCAGATTTTTTTTATAAAAAAAGTCTTTTTTTTATTTTTGGTTTCAATTTTTTTTCCAGCAGATTTTTTTTATAAAAAAAATCTTTTTTTTATTTTTGGTTTCAATTTTTTTTCCAGCAGATTTTTTTATAAAAAAAATCTTTTTTTTATTTTTGGTTTCAATTTTTTTTCCAGCAGATTTTTTTATAAAAAAAATATTTTTTTATTTTTTTTTCCAGCAGATTTTTTTTATAAAAAAAATCTTTTTTTTATTTTTTTTTTCATTTTTGGTTTTTTTTTTCCAGCAGTTTTTTTTTAAAAAAAATCTTTTTTCATTTTTGGTTTCAATTTTTTTTTCAGCAGATTTTTTTTATAAAAAAAGTTTTTTTATTTTTTTTTTTTCCAGCAGATTTTTTTTATAAAAAAAATCATTTTTTTATTTTTTTTTCAATTTTTTTTTTCCAGCAGTTTTTTTTATAAAAAAAATCTTTTTTTTCATTTTTTTCCTGCACAGACCTTAATTTCAGCAAAAAAACACTAATTTCAGAGGATTTTTTTTATAAAAAAAATCCTCTGAAATTAGTGATTTTTGAAAAAATCACACTCTAAATCTTGATGCAGAAAACCTGCAAAACCTGAATTTGTATCAGAAAATAGAGTGCAGATTCGCTATCTGCACTCTAGATTCTGAATGAATTTCAGGTGTTTTGGGGTTTTTGGCACCGTTTTTAGAGTGTGAATTTTTCAAAAATCACTAATTTCAGAGGATTTTTTTTATAAAAAAAATCTTTTTTTTATTTTTTGTTTCATTTTTTTTTTTTCAGCAGATTTTTTTTATAAAAAAAATCTTTTTTTATTTTTTTTTTCCAGCAAATTTTGTTTAAAAAAAAAAATTCTGCACAGACCTTTATTTCAGCAAAAAAACCGTAATTTCAGATGATTTTTTTTATAAAAAAAATCTTTTTTTTATTTTTTTCTGCACAGACCTTTATTTCAGCAAAAAAACCGTAATTTCAGAGGATAAAAAAAATCTTTTTTTTATTGTTTTTTCAATTTTTTTTTTCCCAGCAGATTTTTTTTATAAAAAAAATCTTTTTTTATTTTTTTTTTCCAGCAGATTTTTTTTATAAAAAAAATCTTTTTTTTATTTTTTTTTCAATTTTTTTTTTCCAGCAGTTTTTTTTATTAAAAAAAATCTTTTTTTTCATTTTTTTCCTGCACAGACCTTAATTTCAGCAAAAAAACATTAATTTCAGAGGATTTTTTTTATAAAAAAAATCCTCTGAAATTATGGTTTTTTTGCTGAAATAAAGGTCTGTGCAGAAAAAAATAAAAAAAGTATTTTTTTATAAAAAAATCATCTGAAATTACGGTTTTTTGCTGAAATAAAGGTCTGTGCAGAAAAAATAAAAAAAAAGATTTTTTTTTATAAAAAAAATCATCTGAAATTACGGTTTTTTTTGCTGAAATAAAGGTCTGTGCAGATTTTTTTTTTTTAATAAAAAATCTTCGGAAATACAGATTTTGAAACAAAAAATAAAAAATGTTTTTTTTATGAAAAAAAATTGCTGGAATGAAGAATTTGGGAAAAATTTAAAGAATATAAAAAAATCTGCTGAAATAAAGATTTTGAAAAAATAAGAAAAAATAGTTTATTAAAAAAATCTACTGGAACGAAGAACTTGAAAAAACGTAAAAAGAATACTTTTTTTTACAAAAAAAGCTGCTGAAATACAGATTTTGGAAAAAAACAATTTTCTATAAAAAAATTTGCTGAAATACAGATTTTGAAAAAAAATTATCAAAAAAATTGCTGAAACAAAGATTTTGAAACAAAAAACAAAAAAAGTTTTATAAAAAAAATATTTTCTGGAATGAAAACTTTTGGAAAAAGTTTATAAAAAAAGTCTGCTGAAATAAAGACTTTGAAAAAATAAAAGAAATATTTGTTTTTCATAAAAAAAAAATCTCGAATGAAGAATGTGAAAAATATTTTATTAATATAAAAAAACTGCTGAAACAAAGACTTTGAAAAACAAGAAAAAGATTTTTTAAATCTGCTGAAAAAGCCTACAAACAGTGGTGCTGACACACAGACACCAGACGCCTCTGCATAGCAGAGTTAGCAGAGGAACACTACTCCTGAAATGGAGGACCCGGTCGTCGACCAAAATGCGAGCAACAAGAGAAAAGTCTTCCGAAGCGCACATGTGCTTGATCGGTTTCTTTCTCAGCTTGCAGCCATTGCCAAAACCTTAATTCCAGTAGATTTTTTTTATCCCCCTCTAAAGGCAGTAATATTGAAATTTAACAGTACCAGGACCCTCGTTGTGCCCTCAAATAGGGGCATATGACCCCAAATAACAGGCACTTAGGGTCTAATAGAGGGTAGATGGAGGGTCTAGGTAGTTATTACAATGCAGAGTATGTCTGAGTACATCTGTTACAGGTGAATAGCCATGAGCACGCATAAATGTGCATAGGTATATGCATATACATTTATGCATACACACACACATATATATATATACATATGTATGTATTTGTGCTTACATGCATGCGCATGCATACATATTAATACATACATACGTACATGCACACACACATGCGCACACACAGAGACATGCATGCATAGATAGAAAAAGTGCGTGTATACATGTATATTCGATCATTCGATTGTTATCTCGAGAATTGGGCTAAGCACATGCTCCCTACTGAACCCAGGGTTTGCAAGCGGTTGCCCGGGTCGGCCGCAGTGCTTTGGTAGGTGGCTATGCCCTCATCCTCAAGAAGGCCGGGCACTGGGCTTTATGCTCTGCTTTGGAGTACCATACTTTAATACTTTTTATTTTAAAGGAACCATTATGGAATCAAAGTTTATACTTTTTTCTCCCTGGTTACAAAAAAGCCTAGTTAAGGGTTACAGTAGTAGCAGTGGCGTGTTGAGTTACCGTTCATTTCAGTGGTGAACAACACGGCAAGCAAACGAACCCTAAATAGCCTAAGCCCTAACCCTAAGCCCTATAACTCTACCCTAGATCCTTTTCGAGTGTGAGCGTCGAAAGCCTAAACCCTACTCTTGCTGGATTGTTCGAGTGTGAGCGCCGATACCCTACTCTTTTGCAAGGCGACGACGGGCAGTGCTTCCATGGCGATGGTCAGCCTCAGTGGGGCGGTGGCCTTTCAAGCAGCGGATGCCTGACCGGGAAGTTCAGACCCACTCGAACATTATAGTAAAACGAAATCTCTGATTGTGATCTAAAGCCTTGTATACCAAAGTCTGGCATAGCAGAACAAAATCCCTTATAATGATGATCGTATATTGTTTTATCTCAAAGTCTAGCATAGCCTTGCAAGCTGCATACCACATGCTGACATCATGGAACTGTAAACTGAACCGACAAAACACTCTCTCGCGAGCCGGTGTTGTCGAATTGGTTGGCCGGTGATTGCGGTGGTTTTGTATCGACTCGAAACTCAAAACTCCCACCATATGCCTCACCTGGAATGTCCGAGTGTGAGCGCCGAAAATTCCGGCTGCACCGAAGCAAACAATCCTCTAACTTGATCTGTCTAAGGCTCATGCATGCCATTCCGTTATCTTGGCCAGTGGAACATTGGCCGCTTGATGAGCTGGGTGCCATCCGAGAGAGGAGAGCTTTACTTCACCGAGTTTGCCGATGTTTAGCGCAGTCCTTGTTATCCGAATACTGGGCCACGTCTTCGTCCAATCGGCAGAGCCACGGTGCTTGTGAGCATGCCAAGTGTTTTGCATCATCGCATGAATCTCGCATCAATGTCACGAGTGGCATATCCTTCTGTTGAGCGTATGATCCTGTAGCAAGCTGCCTTGAGCTTGTCCCTTGGCACTTTGTTGTGGCGACAACCTTATGATGTTTACTACGCAGAGAATGAAGCTGGTTAGCATAACTACAATATCAGATCCGTACTGAAGGACTTCAGGCACTTCAGAAGGGCATCAATGATATTCTGTCGTTTAGAAACACCCCGTTCATCATTGTAGAGTATACCGAACTAACATTTTGTTCTGAGGAATCATGCCCGCATGATCACAACGCAAGCCCCCACTTAAAGGAACCAAACGTCCGCTGTAAAGCGCTGCTGTCGCTGTGCTTACCGTATCCCTCCCTGCCTCGCCCCCTTCTTCCGCATGTAGCCTGGCAGCCCTAACGGCCCCAGTTCAAAGAGAAACTTGAGCTGAAACCATGAGGCTCCGTTCAAGCTTCTCCAGCGGGAGCTGGGTGTCGGTCAAGGCTTCGAGACCTCAGGGTGTAGGAGACAAGACGGTATAAGAGACTGGGATCTAGCGTAAATTTGGGGTGAGGGCAGATTCACTGGTCTGGAAGGTAATGTTCGGTAGTTCATTTTTCTGCCGTCCAATTGTTGAACTACTTGGATGCTTTCGTTGTCGTCGCAGAAATCCGAGCACTTTCCCGTCTCTTGCATGCCGCTACACTGTAGAGTTGATTGGAGCACACAATTGAAGTGGGAGTCTACTTCGTTGCCATGGATTGCAGTACTGCCCAAGGGCTCTCTTCGGTTACGCGCACTTGGGTGTGTACTGGTGTGGGCTGACTGGCCTGAACTGGGCGGAACATAGATGTGATTAGATCCGTCCTAGCTGTAAACACAGCATGTCATGACTTGCAAGTCGAGCTGGGGAATGTCTTGATGCGTGTATGTGTAGACACGTGACCCTGCCGGGTTGATAGTCGCCAGAATCAGAAGGTCCAAGCGATTGAGGAGCTTAATTCCTAAAACCCGCCGTGCCGCACAAAGCCATTGGACCTCACGCAACGCGGCCTCCCCCTACACCCTACTCGCTTAAAACATTACCTGCCAAGACTCCTACCGTTTTCAGGAGTTGTATACGGAAAGCAGAACAAGGAACCTGCAAAAGGTAGAGGTTTTTGGGCTGGAGGTGAACCCTGGCACATCGGTTCTCAGGATCTCAACATGAGCTTTTTGCCAGATCTCCAGTCACCGTTGAGGTTGGACAGATCCTCGGCACAGGCAATATTGGGCTGTGAAGAAGCTAGTATATAACTGTCTCCGCTTATACATGCTCATACTATGGTTACTATGGTTTCTCGGGTTTCTGTAGTTTAGTAGAGGATACTGATACATGTATGCATTGCAAGTCGCAGACATTGCAGTAAGGGTTTTGCTTACGCTACTGGGGAACGAGATAGAGTCTGCAGGTAAGACGAGATTGTTAAAGGTAGAGATGGTGTACATACTCTTCTTGTTACTGTACGCATGTTAGTCATAGCTATAGTCTTACTGCCGTGGACTGAGAAAGTTACTTATCAGACAGTACAGACACACGACATACACATTTCAATGTTTGTCGGCATGGCAAAATGCTGGTTCGGAGTGTCGCATCAGAGCCAGATCGTGAACGAGATAGATCAACTATGGTATAGTTTTCGAATGCATACATAATAATGGCATAGTGGACCCAGGAAAACTTACCTATTTGTTTTGAGGCACCGCTTGTGAGGAGTCGTACCCCCTGAGCTTTGTCTTGTCTTCATCTAGGAGCTTAGGTATCCGAGCATATGGGAGTTTCCGAAAATTAGGAGTACTTTATTTTGAGGTCCTTACAATAAGGATCCTACTATTTAGGGTACTATACTAGGGTCCCCTGTCTTCGCAAACTCCCATATATTTCTTCCAGGAGTTTGTCTATGAGACGGGGGACGTACAGAATAGCAAGTGCAGGCAGTTCTTCTTTGCTGTCTGTGTCCAGCAAAATCATTGCTATAGCCTAAGCATCCGCAGCACAAAACCTCCATCCTTCGGATCGGCATGATGAGCCAGATCCGTAGCACAGCCTTGTTCATTCGTTGGCAGTACAGGTGCAGGTCTCAAGCTACTACGCCAGTCTTGCAGTTTTACCATATGTTGTTCTCGGTGGTGGTGTTGTTTCTTGAACCTGCAAAGGTCGGAGGGCATTGGCAGCCGCCTGCGCGTTTTGGCCTTGAGCTCTGTGGACGGACAAAGGCCGGTTGATGTGTAATGCAGCAACCTGATTAAGAAACCCTGGGTCTTTATTAGGGTTCATATGCCCATGGGCAGACTGCCAGACACTTTTCTGCCCGGTATAGTCCTTCAGGTCATCAAGTTGCCTTGGGACTGATTCTGGCGAATTCTTTGCAGGCTTCAAAGCTTGTTCCTGCAAATGTTCAACCAAGTACCCTGCAATGCGGGCCTTGCCAAGCAGGAGGGAAAACATTAGTTCCTCATATGAGTCCTACTGTTTTGGGATTTTAGGCTCAGGGTCTCTTAATCAGGTTCCTATATTAGTCAGCCGATTCAGACACGGAGGCCTCGGAACTGAAGGCCTCAGAGTCGCGACGCAGGGTCGAAGTTGCCACCTGTAATTGGCTTCCGGGGCTCACTCATGGGCGGGTCTTAACGTCCGTTCTTAAGTACTTCTGACGTGATCTCAGGGGTATCAGGCCAAAAGAAATCCCATAGACAGGATCAATCATACCCTAAACTGCCCTAAACACCTAAAATTAGAAATAATATAATAGAATATACTATACTATACTATACTACAATATAATATAATAATGAATTAATATGGTCCATCCGACGGTCTCTCATGAATTGCTCCGCTGCTCCCCATGTGGGACCACCGGGGCCTAGATCTGCCTCAACATAGGGGCCTGGATTTTGGGGGGGTTCTTTCAGAACGCCGTTCTAATTATTCAGGCCCCGAAAAAAGGGCTTAGAGCTCTAAACCCCAAAACGAGAATGAAAGATGCATGATTAGGAGCTACTCTCTATGATCTTTCTTCTCCTGCCTTTGCCTCTTTGTTATCCTTGCGTCGCGTTTTTGTCTATACTTTACCTTGCACTACTTTATTGCTTTGAACGTCTACTCAAGTGCCTCGAAACTGCCGCCTTTAAGGAAATGCTGATGCTGCGTTCGTCTGAGTTTTTGCTTGGTGGCTCGTGGTATAGGTTCATACGCATGGTCTTAAGTTCTGCATTCTCTTATATGTCGCTACTTGGTCTCCGTTTGCTTCGAAGAGCCGAAGGGCTACCGCGTGTTCTCGTGGCGAGCTTGTCTTGCTTGGACCTGTCGCCTGAATCCGTGCCTGCTTGAGCGAGTCCGCGAGTCGAAATCGCAAAACCCTGAAGGCTGTCGTCAACGCGCAGCTTCCGTGCCCAGCAGCTGGACTGGTTCTTTTCCTGGGAAGATCCTCAGTGGTTGGAGCTGAGTGGGCCTAAGTAGCGTTCTTCGGCCGAGTGCAGCATGCAGGACAAGTACCTGGACGGGATTGGGACCGTCGTTCGGATTCTGCTCCCAGCGACTTTGCTTGTCTGGGTTCTTTCCAACTTCCGGACAAGGGCAAGTCGTCAGCCTCGCAGAGGAGTTCTATACTGGTGCATGACTAGCTGTGTACACAGCACCTGCGTGATTTATCGAGAGCGAGCTCATCAACGGTTGAAGATCCTACGTCGCTGAGAACTGAACTGCCGGCTTTGCACTCCCAAGGCCGTGCCGAATGGCAAGCTCTTCTTCTTCCCTTCTCATGAGCAGCTTCAGGACCTACGCATATCTCATATAGTTCCTTATCGTAACATGGGTATACATGGCAAACACTCTCGGTGACGTCGGTGGACGGAGTTACAGGGGAAAATTACGGGTTACAAATCATGAACCACAACATGCATAATATATCTCATAAGCCCATGTACGATATATACACTATGAGGCTTCGGTGGGGAGAGCAGAAGTGTGTAAGAGGAGACGCCAGGGTCGTGTAGATTGGCTGTCGCAGACTTCAGACGACGACACGGAGGAGCTCGGAGAGCTTGATCTACTAGGACGACGGCGACGACGACTACTACTACGGCTTTGCTGCAACTACGAATGCCGACACCTCCTCCTCGTCAGTCTGCTGCTACTACCACGGCAACAGCTACTGCGGGGTGTTTTCGCTATAACGCCACTGCTGCTGGTGATGCTGCTACGACGACGACTCGTTACTCCCGCTTCTCGTCCTGCTGTTCACTGCGAGACGACCAAACAATCAGTTGGTGCAGTTTGGAGGATTACATAATCTAAATCTGAAGCGCACCAAAACAAGGAAGTACTTGCAGCTTGCCACAGTTATGGCACCTGTCCGACTCTTCGTGAGCGGAGGATGCCGTTCGTCATTGGAGGCACTGCGGCCTCCTCGAGCGAGGCAAAGGTGGTGCAGAGTGCCTTGGATTGATGGATGGATGGATGGATGGGCGCCAGGCTTTAGTAGTGTAGGGTTCCACAAAGGTCCGGTGTGAAAACGTGTTGCAGTGTAACTTCCCTGTCGCCAGTCAGAAGCAAATCCATCCTCCACCCCCCAACAGCTCCTGAACATGCCCCTATGAGTGCTTACAACTGACCAAGGCAGGTGCGTGGACATGGGTAGCGATTTGTGTATGCAGGTTTGTCTGTCCGTCTTCACGTATGTGCGTAGGTACGTAGGTACTAGTATGTGTATATACGTATGCATTCACCTGCGTATGGATCTTACTTACTATTACTATCAGTTTGCTTGTTGCCTCTCCCCCTCCCAACTTCGATGTGATATTGGATTCAGGTCGCTTTGCGGCGTCCCGGCGATGGTGGAAACAACTGGACTTAGCAGTGAAGCCTCTGCGGAACTGGTGGCGAGATACCGGCATCCCGGCCACCAAAGTCAGTTGATGTTTTTGATTTGGTGTATTTGCCAATTAGCCCTCGAACTTGTGTCATGCAAGCACATGTCTGCCATGCCTGCATGTAGTGAGGTAGTTTGGCATTTAGGTATGATGCAGATATGTAGGTGTGTGTACGCAATGTTGGTACATGCGTGCATGATTGCGTATGTATGTATGTATGTATGTATGTATGTATGTATGTATGTATGTATGTGTGCATGTATGTAGGCATGTATGAATGGAGGCATGTCTGTATGTATGTATGTATGGTTGTAGGTATGTATGTATGTATGAATGAATGTACGTGTGTATGCATGTATGTATGTATGTATGTAGGTATGTAGGAATGTGTGTATGTATGTACGTGTGTATGTATGTTTGTACGTATGTATGCATTTAACGCCTGCATGCACGCATGCATGCATGCATGCATGCAGGTATGAGTGCATGCATGCCATACATGTATGTACGTCCGGATGGCATTCGGGCATGGTCAGATTGTTGATACGTCCACATGCATACATGTGCTCAGACAGACATGTATACATGCAGACATACAAAGGCAGACAGACCGACACCGGTATGTGTCCTTCCCGTTTGCAGTGTCAGATGTACCGAAGACAGCTTCCTGGACGGCAGCCCAAGTCGTCTTCTGAATGTTTCAGAGAAGGTGTGATATGCCTATGAGGTGAAAGTTTGAATGATGCAGACGTCGGCGACCTCATGAGTTGAACCTATAAAAGCCCGGAAGCCTTCAACGTCCGATGATTGATACACGTAATTAGCTTCAGATTCCCAGGGCTGCAGCTCGTGATGCCGGTGCTGTCCTGCTAGCTGTGATGCGCGGCCGCTGCGCTGAGGGCGCTGACTTCAAGGAGCCGCCTACGACTCCCCTTTCTTTGGGCATCAAGGGGCTTTTTAGGGCCTACCATAGGGTCTTGTGGGGCTAGTGTAGCCTGTTACGCCTTTGGTACATCGAATGGAGATGCGACGAAACTGCTCACAAGCTTCCAGGTTGAAGTGTTTGTCGATCACGCTCCAGCGCATTTTGTGACACAAAAATACTACATAGCTCATTCAGATTAATTAAACCCTAAACCCTAATGATTAAGTGGCTAAGTCCAGTGCAAGCCGAGACCTTCACAGGATGAAGCAGCACGAGCAGTTTTGGCATCACGGAAGCACCGAGATCTCACCGATTATTGCTTGATTTAGGGCGATGTATCTATACCCCCCTTAGAACCATCATAATTGTTGGGGTTTGGTGGTGATAAGCCCTTAACTTTCTCAGAGCAGTTTGCCAACAAAAGCAAGCAGGTGCGCAGGCAGCTATAGGCATGAATGAAGTGAAAGCCAGAACGACGGAAAAGGAAGCTGTTATAGAATGTCTGCATATCCGGATGTATGTCTCTCTCCTTCAGCCTATACAATGTTACTCTTTCTCGAGCTGAAGAGCTTCTCCAGGTCGTGGGCGTCCCCTTCCCAAGTTTGGAGACGGAAGTGCAGCTGAAAATGGAGTACGAAAGAGAGAACAAGGATGCCTGGTATCAGGCGGAAGCCTACAGGTCTGCAGCTTGGCGCGAGCACCGCGACGTTCGAGACTTCCTGCGGTTTTATTTGGGTACAGATTGGGCCGTTCGGGCTCAGACTGAACGCTCTTCTTGTCGGCCGGGGAGCAGACCTTGAGTCAGTGAAGAGACTGTCCTGCTAGAGTTCAGCCGAAGGTATCGCAGGCTGCTGGGCGATTGCTCCGGCACCAGGCGGCAAATAAGAGGGACCGGGATGAGGTTTCAGTTCTTCCGCACTTTGGTTGCGTAGACCCTGGTGTATAGCAGTGCTTAACTAATTACCAATACTACGGTGGGGGTGCCTTCATTAGTATGTTTACAGTCTAACATACGCCAAAGCCCTATTCTAATTATTACGGCCCCTTACAGTACCCGGCCGCTGTTGGATGGAATCCAACCGTTCCGCAGATGGACGAGCGAAGAGTGCAGAGCAGGATGGAGCTCCGCCTCCTGAAACGATTGAAACCGCAGAAACATCTTGTGAACCGCGGCTAATGTAGGGACCTTAGTATTTAGAATAGGGTTTTGGGGGGCTCCTTATTATGATTATAGTATAATACACCTTATTCTCATAAGTAAGGCCCGTGTACTTGTGTGTGTGTGTGTCAAGATGTGTCCAGCGCCTGTAAAGTGCTTCGAGCAGTCTGTCGACCTATTTGGCCAAACAGGCAGACTATGGTAGCTTGATCCTCCTGGACAGCCGCTTCGCAGCGGAAGGCCTCTTGGCAAGAGTTGGGGATGCAATTTGGGGTCTGGCAAATACCGGCGATGATCGATACCTCCACGTCTTTCTGCTCAGAAGATGTTGGCTCAAGGTTCCAGAACACTTGCAGGGATTCATCACTAAAGCCGGCCCAAACTATAATATAATAGTACATACATATATATATATATATATAGTGTGCAACCTATAGTAATTCGTAGTATGCATACTATGTAGTGTACCCGTGTTTCAGCCCAGCAGAGACCAGGCCCTCCCATGCAGCTCTCGGGTTGGCTGCAGCACCTTGGATATGAAACCATCAAAGGGGGAAAGGAGGGACCCATAATGGGGACCCCTACCATATAATGGGCTATATAATGGCTATATTAAGGGTATATACCTAGGGGTCCTTATTAAGGGTCCCTCATTTTACCCTTGGAGAGTAGTTGAAAGTGCTATGTGTTTGTGAGTCTGTGACGGCGCGGATGGCAGGGCGAGACTAAGTGTCTTGATACTAGATGACCGGGCTCGGGGCCACAAAGCCATTTCAGGATTCAAGGCAGAATAGTTTTGTCAAGTGTTGCATAAAACCGTCCTCTTAACTCATATAAGGGTTTATGACTTTATAGGGTTTAGGGTTTAGGGAAAAGGGGTGACGATGTCTTTAAGGATTTTCAGTATCTCCTGATGTTCACAGAAGTTTGCCAACAGTGGGTTGAGCGCGTGCGTCGGCTGTCATGAGCACTGTCGATGCGCGATGCTTGATGCTTCTTGTCTCCACACTTCGTCAAGCGAATGTGGGGATTACCGGGCGGTGGTAAAGGCCCGATGCAAAAAAGGGAAAAGGGCCCTGATCCGAGGCGCGAACTTCGGAGCCAGCGGCCACGGGGCCGCGGCGCCCGCGGAGAAGTGACCAGCCGATCGCTCGAGGCCTCTCAGACAGTTCTGCAGAGATCGGAGCACTTACTTCTCATTAAATTTACAAAATATACACCTATCTATGTAATTATACAGACATATATACATATATATATATAGGGTTCTCTTTATTGCCCTTGTAAATTTAAATGAAATGTAAGCATGGTAGGCGGAGAGGAGGCGAAAGAGACACAGAGAGAGAGAGAGAGAGCTTGTCAGCAGGTTTGACCCCTCACTTCGGGTTTGTTTTGTTCAGGTTTCGATGATTCTTGCAGCCTCTGATGTGTTAAGCAGCCGAAGCTACGCAGATACTCTAAATTAAATGAGCAGCTTGCTTTGGTGATGGTGTGCATGGTGGCTAATATCCAACGCGGCATTCATGCGCCGCGCTGCAGGATGTGTCGGAAGATCTGAGCACGTTCTTCTTGCGGAATGAGTCGGCGGTGGAGGTGAAGAAAAGCTCCATGTTGTCCTCGACTCCCAAAGGGTAGTGCACCCTGCGCAGCATCAGCTGCGACCAGCCCACAAAGCTCTGCTCGGACCTTACAAGTATATAAGCAAGAAACTCAGACTGATAGCGCGCACTGCAGCAGATGATTGCTAGCCATGAAGGTACGGTTGACATAATGCCACAGTGCTGAAGCCATGCTTCTAAACTTAACAAAGTTGCATCCGGCCCAACACGATTTAGACTTGGGGACCAAAACGAAGAACACTTGATGATGGAGCAGCATTCTCGGAGCCAGCACGTCGACCTGATCAGTTTAACTGGACAGCATGGCTGCGATGCCGCGGTGTTCTGCCGTTTTGGTAGCTACCTGTGACCTGTGGCCCACCGTTTGCTCAACAAAGAGCGGGACGTAGCTGACATACTGAGGGACTGATGCCATGGTCCTCCTGGTGAAGCCTGCAGCGCTTCCGCTGTTGCTTGCCTTGGTCACGGCGTGTCTGCTGGGCGCGAATGGAGTCGCTTGCCGGCACTTGTCAGGCCGATGTGCAGACCCCAGATTCAGGGTTTCATGTCTTGCAGCGGAGACGAGTAGGGGCGGCGTTCGATTGCAACTCATGGCTATTCCGCCGTCTCGGAAAGAAGATTGCTCTTGCATGGATGCTTTCGCTCGGTCTTAGATGCTGCCAACACTCGCCAAATATCCTTCGTGCATGCTATGAAAGCGTGGAAAGGCTGTGTTTGCGAGATGTCGCGGCAGCAGACGCCTCAGCCGAGGTCGCATTTCCGTCTTACCAGGACATGCTTGGAGCCTGGGGTGTCTCTTCCCAAGGCTGTACCACAACAAACGGATGCAGACCTTCACCTGACTTTTGATTTGCATTCCACCAGCTTTTTGGACCTTGATGTCTTTTCCTTCTCGGCGAGCATGTAGCAAGACCTGCTCTTGGCAGTTGCTGTCAGAATGGATGCTTGATCTCTTGAAGTTCTGCAGAAGTCATACTGTAGTTACCCTCGTCTTAGAATCTTAGAAGGCAATGTGACCCTCCGGGGTTGTCCTTCCTGGAGGACCCTCAGACTGCAGAGCCGCCACTACCACATCCAAAAGGATCGGCAAGGGGGGCTTGGATTTTCCGGGCAGACTGTTGTTCGTAGCAAGGCCGCCAACTTGCAGTTGGAAGGTTTGCCTAGACAGCGCATGCACAGACAAGATCAAGGCAAAGGTTTGCCGGCACAGCTTACACATCTCTCGCATTAGCCAAAGGCGCGAACAGAGCTGTGTTCATTTGCCTTTCCCACACGGGTCCCTACGAGTTCGTGAGTTGGTGTGCGCAGGCAGCCTCCGCAAAACATTCGTCAGATTGTGATGACCGTCGTGCATTCTGCTCGGAGTTGTCTTGGGGGCCCTGCACATGAAGCGAGCCAACATCCCCACATCCGATCCCGGAGTCTTGCTGTGCCCATTCGAAGGAGCAGTCGTTTCCTAGAGTGTTAGAAAGGCCTCCAACATCCGAGCCAAAGCAGAGGCGCCTCGGCCCCCTGTGCTGTGCGCCCGGCTGTGCTGGGAGCGAACCTCTCTGGTGTCTCGGCCCCAAATTACGTCTGGGTAGTTCCGGCATCCGAGCGTGGCAAGAGGGACACGCATGCGCAGGTTCTCTGCTGCTCATTCCAAACGAAACCACAAGCAACGTTGAAATTTCAACTTGACGAGACGAAATGGAGCGGGGCAGCTTAGCTGCTCTAGACCGGACTGACTAGAACTTGATAATCAGGACAGTGAGCCGCATCTGAATTTGATGAAGCTCAGGCTACGGATTCTTGTCGGCACAGAAGAGGAGCAAAGGCCGCCAAGCGGTTTGTCGCTGTTGAAGCAAGCAGAGCTCGCGCCCGCACTTTTGAGATTGGCCACCTGCACTCCTGCTTGACCACTTGTCGGAATGGATGTGGAACCACATGCGATACACACCGATGCAACACACAGCCGGGAACGTACAAGTAAGACCATTCCCCGTGCTTCAACTTCAAACCATCAGACACATTTTGCTCAACTCTGAGCGGCAGAGCCGTGTCTAAATGCAAGAACTCGACATCCCGAGGACAAGTTGTTCGGTCTTGGTTCGAGCCGCCAGACGATGAGACTGCCTGCCCATGCAGCTGCCAGGCAGAGCTTATGCTGTTCCTTCCAAACTCAACGGTTGGGATGGCAGTCCCCTGCACTGAAAACTGCCCACAGCCCAAACATTGACAGAAGCTTGACAGCCGTCGCATGGCTAGACAATTGGAAAGTCTGCCCCGCTTCAGCAAGCCAGCATCACAAGGCAAAGCTCGACACGGGTGGTTGTCAAAATTAGGATCCCTTTTGGGGCACCCTAAATATTCGGTGCCGTACTTTGTTAAGGGCCCAAAAAGGGGCCCTTATTTTGATAACCACACACGTATCCCTGCAGTTTTTCCAAGGTGGACGCAGTCTTTCAGAGTCCTGCTGGTCGCAGGTGGTCCTGATGTCAGAGCCTCAGAGCCGGGTCTGTGCGTTCAAGCTCCATTTGGGGTTTCCGAAAATGGGGGACCCTAATCTAGCAGGATCCTTGTTATATGTACCCCAAAATACGGTACCCCTAATTTTCGGAAACTCCCATTTCGCAAACAACATGAAGTTGATGAAGTCGGCGCTTTTCCCTCAAGGTCCGTCACGTCAGCCTACCCAAGCCTTCCTCTGGTAGTCCCATGAGACATCAAGGACACCTAAGGATGTGCCAGAAGCACTGTTGCGATTACCCAGTATACACCCTTGAAGTGAAGCCGAGGTTCGACGGACACGTGAAAGGAGTACAGTTCGATCGCTTCGGCGCCGTGTGGTTTCGCGGCGTTGTGCCCAGTCTTTGCACGGGAATGAAGGTAGCATCATAATCAGCGTGCTTCTGGATTCCATCCATCCAACCTTCGGCCAATGGAAGTCCACATGCTGTTTAGCAGCAATAATTGGTAAGAGAGAGAGAGAGAGAGAGAGAGAGAGAGAGAGAGAGAGAGAGAGAGAGAGAGAGGGGCAATAGCGCTATCAGAGAGAGAGAGAGAGAGAGAGAGAGAGAGCTTCCTACAAGCATTGTTTTGCGTTCCGACTCTAGGCAATACAGCTCCCGTTGGGGAATTTCTATACGGGCTGTTTTCTCCCTCCTGATAGAATCTAGTGAGTTCTATCACCGAACTTTGCACCCGAGGAGAACGGAGTCGGGGGTTGGGAGGGGGCAACCTCCCACACCAGTCGATACTTAATCTAAACAAATATCATGGTATAATGGGCCCAAAACCCTACTCTAATTATTAAGGCCCCTATGTTATAGCACCCGTATGGGTCCCTTATTGTAACCCTGATAGACCCCCTTTTTTTCGACAAGTTTGAGTTCTGTCAGATTCGAGGAGCTACTCCGGACGACCACTCCGGAGCCTTCTCCTTCGGGGATCGATTGGCGTGTGGAGCGGGATGTGACGGACTTTCAGAGCCTTGGTTTCGGGTTTATGGGGTTTATGCTGAAAAAGGGTCCGAGGCAGTCGCCGGTTCCCTTCTGCACCGTTTCTTGGCCTCTCCCGTTCGAGGAGTTCGGAGCGTGAGCTGTGCTGTGCTGAACACTTCTGTGCCTCTTAATTTGCACTGGATATCACGACTCAGGAGCCTTTTTCGCAGCGCTGGTGAGATGACTCTGACTCTGGGCGCCGCAGCAGTGCATGTTAACTTGATGTGATCGCTTGTGCTGCGACATGTCCGTCTCTGGCAAAACCTATCGATTGGAACTTGCAGCGATGCAAACTGTTGGCGTCGTCATACCGTACATGCGTCCCCCGTGTTTAATCTATATTGCTGCCACTGGGATTCCTTTTCGTCTTCTCGGCAGTAAAGCTTCAGTGACTGCAGTGTCGGGAGCTCCCAAACGGTTTTAAGCATCCCAGGATGATCCCGAACGTCGTGGATCCAACTTACACTGGTGTGCTGCTGGTCGCATCGATTCCTTTTGTAAGGTCTCTGCATCCCACTAAACTGCATATATGTGTCCTGTGCTTCAGTGAGAGAGAGAGAGAGATATAGAGAGAGAGAGAGAGAGAGAGACAGAGAGATTGGGCGACATTGACAGCCATTTGCCACCAGCCCTTCTGCCACAAGAGCCCACATATGTTTGCCGAGGGAACCCAGTGCCTTCATTCTTCTCTGCAAACCAAACAAAGAAGGGGGGGCGCCTAGGCGCCGGGACAAAGGGAAAGAGAGAGGCCAGCATTCTAGGGCGCGGGACCATGTTTCAAGAGAACCGGGGTCGGAGCAAGGTTGCACATCAACGTTTCGATCGCTTTCTATCAGCTGACAGCGACGGCGCCGGACGTTTGGACCGTGCTTCCCCTTCAGGAGCGGGCGAGCCGAAAATGCTGCGAAAATTCGTGCAGAGCTCCAGCTTGCATGGCGATGGCCGTGATGTTCTTGATAGACACCGCACCCGTCTCGGAGTTACATCAAAATGCGGGAGGTGAGCATTTTGACCTGCATGGCCGGCGTAGCATGTAATTACAGAGGACATCACGAACGCCTCCGACCCATTGAATCGGCTGGCGAACTCAGGCTTGGCTTTGCAGTGAGCTTTGTTTACAATGAATTTGGTACACTCTAGTGATGCCTATGCGGTATCACATGGTCATACTGCGTATGGCGTATACGACACTGCACCACATTGCCATTCAATTGTGGAGCTAGTTAGTTTTACATTTCCGTGAGCACTCCAAACTAAACATGACGGCCCCCGGCCCATTGTGCTCGGATTGGGTATTTCACCCTTTCCCAGGGACGCTTGGGCAAGCGAGCACGGTCACGCTTGCCACTTGGCTCCCGATGACAGTCAAGTCCCTGGAGTTATATATGTAAATAAAATGTGCACATACGTACATGCACAATATACGTCCGTCCATACATGCATACATACAGGTCGGAAGTATCAATTGCCCCGATAATCCCTGGTACCAGGCTGCAGATTATGCAGCCGTAATCTGCCTCTTCGGAGATATTTTCTCCCAAACCGGCTACTGTTTGGATTTTCTCAGTGGTCAGGGCGGTAGGACATGACTCAGATGCAGGGGGGTGATGTTGGTGAGCCTTGATTTGTGGGCTTGTCGCAGGGAGTGAGTGGCTTCGCTGCGATGCCTGTCCTCTCTGTGAGGATCCTGCCTCCTATGTCAGCCAGATCCGCTTACACGTGTTCGCTTCTGGTCATGGTTGCGAGGCCTTGGGAACGCGGGAACCCGAAAAGCAAAAGCGCTTTGAGACACAACCACTATCAGCAGTGCTTTGCGCATGTTGTAGGTGCACATACACAAACATCGCATGCCTGCCTACATACATGCATGCATACTGCATAATGCAGACGCACTGACACACATTGACACACTGAGATTCAAAGCACGAGTGCACACAAACACACTGTCTTTCTTTCTTGTAATTACTTACTTGCAGACTTGCTTTGTCTCTCTCCCCATCGCCCCCTGCTCTGACAAAGAGCACATGTTCCGCCGTGCATGCTTCTAGTTTCTCGGCTACAGAGAGTTCGAAAGGCAGTTAACAATCAAATTGTGGCCATCCCAAGCTCTCCTGGAGGGCACAGCCAGTCGCGATGGCCGTCGTGATACGCATGTGGTCGCAGCGACAGCAGTGGTAACAGTTGCAATAGTCTTCGTGATCGTAGTCCTTTGCCGCCCTTTGTTCTCGCCACGCCCTTCGAATGGAAGCTTACACCCCTGTAGACATGTCATCTTCGCTAAGTCCGCGGGATTCCATGACCACCTATGCCGGCCTATGCCCGCTCCATTAACAGGAGTTCTGGTATACCAACGTCCCCGGGACTGATGTGCCTTCTGGTACATGTGGCGGCGGTGCCTACCGTGAGTGCCTGGGCTGATGCAGACTAGAGCTAGGTCCTTGACCCATTTGAGTCTGAAATCCAGCCGACGAACCCCTCCCAGAACGTTGGCTCAGGCTTTTGGTATACATTGCACCCTGGAATGCCTTTGTGGGAGGGGGAAGTATCGCAGTTTGGCAGGGAGAGGGGATTTCCGGGCAGAGTCAAGAGCGGCATGGGCACATGTCAATTTCCAGAACTGCGCGTCCCACTTGCACCAGCACTCTTACAGCCTCGCTTCGCTAGTCACCGGCCCTTGCCGAATAGCTTGCGTGCTCTGCAGTCCCAAGCAGTGCTTCTGATAGTTGCAGCAAGGACGGAGTCCTAGCCGACGCAGTGCTGCCGTTCCCGGTGATTTACACGGGTGGTATCAATCCTCTTCTTTGGCGACCTTTGACAGGCTCGTCCTGCTTGTACTGTAGTAGCCTACATAATCATTACCAATATACTATTTGGGGGGTTCCTTGTTATAGTTATAGTATACTGGGCCCCAAAACCCTATTCTAATTATTAAGGCTCCTGATGTAGAGCCCTAGTAGAGATCCCCAAAAGGCTATATAGACCCCTTTAAAGCAAGGAACCCTTATTGGGGCTCCTATAGTACGCAGGTACAGGGCTTCTGGTCATGATGTGTGCCTTAAGTAAAACCTGAACCCACCCCTAGAGACTAGAGACTCTGCAGACCTTTGAAGTATGAGCCTAGAAACTTCTTTCAGGCATCCTGTCTTTCGACATTCCACCCTATGAGTTCGACCTCACTCCTTTTGCGAGCTGGCTCTTGGATGGGGCTGCGCACAACGTGACGGTTCAGGCCCCTCGAAGCTGTAGGTTTCCCCAATTAACCGACCGTTTTAGGGTTCCTTCTTATCACGTCTTTATATAAGTGCTTGGAGAGATATTCTTTGCGGGTTAAGGGAGGGATAGTAGATCCATGGGACTGCTTAACTGGAGTGTGAGCCCTAACTGCTGGCTCAGCCTTGGCGAGACTTCAGAGACCATGGGGAATTGACATGAAGATCACGGCGGCTAATAACTACCTACTACCGGACCAAACTTGCCGAAATCCGTGTGACATAGTGCCGCCCAAATATTATCTTACTATATATATATATATATGTATATAAATATATTTACATACATATACACATACCCTACGGCTACAGTGGCTACAGTTTTAAGCCGACTATAGACCCTATACGGCTACATGTCTAAGCCGACTCCGGAGTGCTTCTTCGGCTCGTGCATCTTAGGTTTGGGGCAACAACCCCCAGGGGACCTGGTTTATCGATCCCGTGCTCTTGCTACGCCATGCGGACGCCAACCAGTTTCTTGGTTTAGGGTTTAGGGATTCACTTCTCAGCAGAGGCTTTGCAAGCTGGATGCAAAAGGGTTTAGGGTTATCTCATTTGTTTGTCAGAAGCGTCGGTGAGGCTGTTTGCAACGACGCGACAGACGTCTTAACTGGAAGCTGGTCACTGCGCAGTGTGGAAGATTAATTTGACGCGCAGTGTCATCAGTGTCGAAGTCATAGAAGTACCAAACCCCTGAGCTTGCATACAAGTGTCCCTCCAAATCATATGAAGCAAGTACATTTTCAAGTGTTCCCGGAGCGCTCACCACAACCGTGCTGTAAACCCCACCATTTCCGAGAAGAGCAGTGGGGTGAGCCCAGGTCAATTTCAGGTGGCCGGATTCGGAAACTGCCAGATTCCGTGCCAAATGTGACGGAGCAGGTACACAAGAAGTCGAACACCTCCAGCACCTGGACCGTATTGTGCCTGATTGTACTATATATACGGCTGAAATGATTGCTACTACTATTTTTCGCGTTCATGATTACAGCTGTAGTAACATTTATGGTTCCCACATCAGAGTTTCTAGACTGGGTCGACTTCTTGGGCCCTTGCAGACTTCTGGCACGAGGCTCCGCCGGGGGATTCCATCAGTCGCTGAGGTATTCAGTGGATGCGAGGCAGCCACAGCTACGAGGCGGTTGGCATGGGAGCTTCAGTGTTTAGGGTAAAAGCCAGAAAGTTGGAATATGATTATCCTAAACCCTTCATGGTAAATTATAGGGTATCCTACCCTGAAACCATATTCCAACTTTCTGGAGTTCCCTGTAGGGTTTTGGGAGCTTCAGATGTGCGAGAGCTCCTGACCCTTTCGTACATGTGGGAGGACGCAAGTACGGAGTTTGGGCGGGGTGGGGAGTCTGGCCAAAGGCGGCAGCTCCGGCGTTGATGAACCGCTCTTTTGCCCGCTGTTTCTCATCATTTTAAGCTGTTTCTACATTGCTACATATGTACGGAGGTATATAAACCTAGATAGACGGATGGATAGAGAGATAGACAGACACGTGTATAGATTGTTTGATGGGTTGTTTTGAAAGAGTGTTAGATGTGAGATAGAGAGAGTGTGTGCGACTTTGGACACTCTCTATATATCCCATATTATCTACGATGTGTGGAACCGAATTAGCCTTGGAGAATCGAGCTATTATCGCCAAAGACTGCTCAAGCAGACGGTATCATGCCAAGTATGACATGACGAGATCCCTACCATTTCCAGCCTGCCGGACATTGAGAGAGATCTGAAGTTTTGTTCTGGCCGGTATGTACCGGTCAGCGTTGTAGGCCATTGCTGGCCATGGCTTACCCTGTCGCTGCCGATGTTGAGCCGCCACAGAGTGCCCTGGTGCTGCACGAGGATAGCAAGGATGACAGCTTCCAAGCCTCCAGTCGATCAATCGATCTTCTCATCTGGCACGCCCGTCATGATGTGGCCAAGGCGGTCACCCTATTCGGCCCGGGTGTTGTTGTGCTACCCCTGCTTGGTCGAGTCTCCGGCATAGAGGAGGAGGGATGCCTGGAGTATTCTTGCCACCCAAAACGGGTGGCCAAGGGAGGTGTCCTTGACCGCATTGACATGGAGATGAAGTACGGTGCATGGGACCCAAAGCGCCTGATAGAGGAGCTCACTGGCAGAAAGAAAGGCTTGGAGAAGCGCCTGCAGCGAATGAGCAACGAGGCCCTGCAGGAAGAAGTGCATGCCATGCAAGACTGGCGCGAGAAGGCGAGTGGGCGTCTAAAGACCCTGGAGCGCCGCGCAGCGTGGTCCTTCCTGGGCGTGGCTGGAGAAGGGAAGGCGAGCCAGGAAGAGATCAAAAAAGCCTTCAAGAAACGTGCTTTGGAGCTTCACCCAGATAAAGGCGGTGATGCCGAGCGGTTCCGACTACTGCAGGAAATGCGCGATCTCTTGGTCGAGCCCAAGCGATACGAGCTGGAGGGCAAGAAGGAGAAATCCGAGGCTGGAAAAAAAGACAAGCAGCCGTCGGAAAGCAAAGGGAAGGAAAAGGAGGGGGAGGACGATGAGGAGGACTCGGAGTTCTCTGACGACAGCTGGGATGCTGACGAGGAGTTTCGGAAGATGTTTCCGAAACGTAAGAAGCGTCCCCGACGCTCAGAAGAGGAAGATGCTGAGCCCGAGAACTTGCAGAATCAGGACTTCCATCGGGGCAAGTTTGAGGCTGCAAGACGGAAGCTCCATCGGCAGTTGGCAGACATGTGGAGCCGCGCCAGTCAGTTGTCGGAAGAGATTGCCAGAAGCCAGACAGCAAGCTCGGGGTCTGACGCTGTGCGTCAACTTAGATCCTTTGTGGAGCTCTTCAACAAGAAGGAGGTGAGCAAGCTCCAAGAGAATGATCCCAAAAAAGCGCATCGCATCTTCCGTCGATTCCTTGAACAAGGTTCAGAGGTCCTGTGCGCAGCAGGGGCTGTGGATTCGGCCACGACGATGTCTGTCGTGGCCATGCAGGTCAACTACCCTCTGCTACAAGTCGCACCGTCAGGGGATCTTCAAGACCAGTGTGCGGCGCTCTTGCAGGCCATTCAGGACCTTCCCACAGCACTCGGGCAGCGTCTGGACTCTGTCCAGGCAGCCCTGCTGGAAGACAATTTTGAGGAGCCATTCTTCATACGGTTGCTTGTGCCTGACAAAGATGAGGCCCAAGAGGCCCAAGCCGGCGTATGTGAAGTTGAGCTGCAGCTGCCTCCAGGTTCCACGCTTGGTGATTTGCGGGCCGCAGCTTTGCACATGTGCAGTGGATACGGCTTTGGCAGCGCTTTGCCTCGCTTGTTTTGCAAGGGCATCTTCCTTGCCGGCTCCAACTCTACGAGCTTGGCTTCTTTGGATTTGGACTCCGGGGTGCCGCTCCAGTGTTTGCCAAGCAACTTGGCCTTGACAAGGGCAAGAGCCAAAGGCGGTTCAGAAGCCATCGTGAAGACAAGAGCGACAGAATCCAAGACGTCTTCCGACCGCAGGGTGGTTGCCGACCAGGTGCACAGTCCAGCGATCCAAGCTGATCCAAAAGGGTCAGAAGAAAACAAGGAGAATGAGGAGGACGCGTGGTTTGATGATTTCTTTGGCGCAAAAGCCTCGGACAAGGTGACTCAGGAACCTCAGGTGGAAGAGCCACAGTCACGCCCGCCCGCTGAACAGAAAGCTCCAGCAGACTCGGCACGGCGTGCTACACAGGAACGAGGAAAGCAAGCCATGGCAGATCGACTCAAAGCCCAAAAGGAGGCGAAAAACAAGCAGAAGGCACAGGCAGAATCAGAGCGCAGGAAGCCGGCGCAAGCTGACAAAGGCATCCGACAGCCGGCTGAAGCGCCATGCAGACCGGAGTGCAGTCAGGCTCTTGTGCCCTCGAGGGAGCCGGACCTTACACAAGATGCGCTGCAGAAGGTCAACTTGTCTTGGGACGAGTCTTGGCAACATCCGTGTGCCGGCGCTAGACGGAGTGATGGTAAGGCCATTTTCTGCGGTCCCTGCGACAGCTGGATCACTCTTGGGAGTCCCTTCGACCATCGTGATTTTGAAATTCACTGCGAAAAAGTCGGTCACTACGGATGGATTGACTGATGCCCTGAGATGTCGCCTCTGTCATGCCCTGCTCGGCTACGGATTTGCGCGATCTCTATCGTGCTGGTTAGCGACAGCACAGGCTCACGCCTGCTGCACACCTCAGCGCGGCATGATGAACGGGACCATGCCTGTACAGAGCCCGTATGGAGCCCGACATTAGCTTGCGAAGAAATCAGTACCGTCGATTCGCCCTGATTGAACACTGAGTTGAGGTAACCGGATCGAGTTAAACTTCCATGCCTCCCAGATGCTGTTGACTTGCGACGGTCGAGGCCATGGAAGCTCATAGGTCTCGATTTTGCTGCAGGTCCAATCACAGCTTTTGCTCCGAAGTGGCCAGGAGATCGCCTGCGTGGCAGCTTTGCTGCATTCAGGATTATGGTGGTTACAAGGTGTTGTCAACGAGATATAACTATAATTATATATATATATATACATATATATATATATATATATATATATATATATTATATATATATATATATATATATATATATATATTGTAATTATATAAGTTAGTATACATGTATGCACGTATGTGTGTGTGTGTTGTACCACAAGCCAGTCATCACAGCGCTCACATAGGTAAGGTTGATCGCTGCCCCTCCATGTTTAAAGCCAGAGCACCTGAACACAATGTGCCCCTAGCCTTTGACGGATATCCAAAGGTGTCGGAAAGGAAGCCAGCAGAGCCCGACAGGGCCAGCATAAAGAGCAAAATCGCAATCAGCCATGAAACTGGGAGCCATCGAACTCCACCCGCAGACAGGTGTCCGGTGAGCTTGCTGCAGAGAGCACCAACACGGCCCTGTCTGCCACGACACAGGTTACTCGGGGGCGGCGACTCGGAAGACGACTTCCTGGGTGTGCAAGGTTTCGGGGACATTCCTGATAGGGTAGACAAGTACATACGACGTACGAGGTATGGTTTGTTGTGCCCGACCCGCAGGTTCAGACGAATTTCGTGCCCCCCCCAAGTCGTGCTTAACCACGTCCAGATGGCAACCTCCTTGCAAAGACATTGCTATGATTGAACCTGCTCATGCTGAGGTATGCTGAGGTGCATAATGATGGGCATGACGGTTAAGCATACCAATGTCGAACGTCCATGCTGCATCGTGGCGAAGCTTGTGTTGCGACTGGGCCAGTGGGATGCCCGCCTTGCGAGCAGAGGTTCACCTCAAATCGGCGCCAGACCTGCGGATCTTCGAAATCTTCAAGACTTGCAGACTTTCGTTTAAATGTCGTGGATGTCGCCTTTGAGGACGATGGGCTGCACAAGTCCTCGTTTGAGCTCCGGAAGACGAGAGCGGATTGGGAGCCGACGCGCAAATAGTTGTCCTTGTTATTGCGAGCGGCAGTTCAGAGGGTTGCAGGCTTCGTGTGGACTAATTTGCCTTGAGACCCTACGGATGACATTCTTGAGACCCAGACAAGACATGCATACAATTGTGTGTGTGGGGCAGTCAAGGTCTTGTCACTCTGTTCATGCACGGAGGATCTGTCAGGTCAGCTAATATAGAGCATAGGACCCCCCCCCCCCCAACGTGCCAGGACAACAAGAGTTTGTTTCTGAACGCGCCCCTCGGCCTTCAGAAATCGAATGTTTTTCACTTTTCCAAAGATGGGTTCCACTTAGCAGCTATAGAACCGGGTCGCCCAAGTTCCCATGAGCAAGTCAAGAGGGTGCACGCTCGCTTCATCATGCCTGCCTACTCCAAGCAGGTCAATCAACGTGTCGCGTGCCTTGACTGCGCGATTCGAAGACGCCACGGGCGTGCTGGGTGTCATCGCACTGAACAACAGCATCTCCAGTGCCGCTGTCTACAACAGGCCGCATATGCATGGGACCCTCTTGGAGCAGCAACAACTTCAAATGTTCGCATGGCAATAAGTCTCAGATGTTCGCATATTTTCGGAACAGGTTGGTACTTGATCCAAGCCTTGAGCATGTATTGAAGTGGCATTTTGCAACAAGATGCTGATGTCGTCGGCTCCAAGACGCAAGCTTTCTGTCGTGTTGGCATAAGGAAAGGCTAGATGCCAAAGTTCCGCCCCTGTTTCTCGAACCTGTGCGACCACGTAAAACCAGCAATCTCTAAGCTTCCTTGCGCGCCGCCATCATGGCCAGGTCAAGCGTCAACCACAGCCAGGTGAATGTGGAGTCAGCAAACTCCACGGAGTAGCTTGGATGAAGACTTTGCGCCCAGCAAAGAAGCCGCCTGAAGCCTGAAACAAGGACAGCACAGATACTCATGGATGATACTCATACCTAGACCCCCAAAAGTAGGTAAAATCATGGCCCAAACCCTATAAAAGGCTATTATTCTACATACTTTTGAGGTCCAGGTATGCCCATCTCCGTGTATCCAATGCCCAGGCCTTTTGGACGATCAGTATCGAAGTCCTGCCCTAAATACCCAGAGACTCCAATATCCCCTAATTAAGGAATATATACCTTAAATCATATTAAGGATCCTACTATAATTTAAGGTATATTCCTTAATTAAGGGATATTGGAGTCTCTGGGTAGGTAAGATGAGCTTGTCATCCGAACACGCTTTATACAGTGCATGGTCGAGACTAGAGGAGCGTGCCTGAGTTTACAAGCTTATCCTGTTGCCCATGAAACACATCGGCGAGTTGTGACGACAAGGGCATATATCAAGTTCCAATTAACATGCATGCGTGTATTTATATGTACAGACATGTGTGTGCATACACCACTCACAGGTACAATTCTAGCCTAAATCTGTATCGGTACCTATGCCTAAGCATGTCTACGTGTGTTTATGTATATATATATATATATATGTACATACCTGTGTGTGTGCGCACGCCACTCGTAGGTGTCTATGTATATATATATATATATATATATATATACACACACACACACGTATGTACCTACGTATAAACATGTGTATGTATACATATGTTTATGTATGCACTTATGCATATACATTTTGACGTAATTAAAGGGTATATATATATACTCATATGTATATGCAAATACATAAACACATACGTGTGTATATATGTATATATCATCTCTCTTTCTCTCTTTCTCTCTTTCTTCCCTCGCGAAGAGTGCTACAAGTGAAAGTTTTCTCCAGAATACATACAAGGCTGCGCAATGAGGCGTGCAGGACATGCGGCTCATTGCTCTGGAGTATCCTTGTTGAGGTCGTTGGCATTTGGCAGAAAGAGTTTGGCCCTGGCTATACGGGCAAGACTTAGTTTGCTTTCGGGCTTCTACGGTTACGTGTAAAGGAGCGAGCGATCGTCCTGTGCAGTTGAGCGTCCGTGCTGCACCCAATTAGTGGCTGATACGGGTGGCCCATTCTTTGTATGTGCTCGGCTGTCACCATTCCTCGGCTATGGTCGAAACAGGTTCGTACCCCCCTTGTACCCATCTGGTCGAAGTGCGAGCATGGTTTGCCCCACTGCAAGACTCGAGGCACTACTTGATCTCGACAGAGACGGGGGGTGCTGATGGCGGAACAGGCTGCTACGAGAAGCATTTGACTGCAAGCAGAGGCCTGAAGCTATGTGCAGCTATCATTTAATTTATTCTTCATGACTCGATCGTTTTGGTGTTCGGCGATGTTCGTTGTGTCAAATGTGCTGCATGTAAAGATTATGCTGCGTGCACTGCATGTGAAGCATGCTTTGATAGCAGTCGCTGGTGCGAACAAGCAACCTCTTTAGCTGCCTTGATGTACCATGGGATTTCGTCATACGCTCACTCACACGCGGGTGGGTTCAAGCGCCCGTTGCCTTGACCAGACCTCCTGATGGCAGCACGAGAGAGGGAGAGAGAGGGCGCGAGGAGACGAAATGGGTACTGTGAAGGTTTTCTGAGAGTTAATTACCTTGTGGCAGGTTACATTTCTTCTGCTTTCGAACGCAACACGTGCGAATGGCCCTTCGGTGTCTACGTTTGTGGATCCAGTTTCTGCAGCTTGGAAAGCAAGGTATAGGAGGCGTCCGCAATAGGCTCTCAGCTTGCGATCGTAAATGCGCAGACGAAGACACCGTCTAGAGCTGCGCACCCCAGTGCTTGGCTTGTTTGTGCTGAGCAAGGCTACGGCCAGATACTGCGGACTGCGAACACTCACGAAACTCTTCGCCTGTTTGTCCGCGTGTGTTGCAGCGCCCGCCGGGGAGTGGCGCTGGCGCATCAAATGCTGATACATTGTGTCACTGGTCTGGGCTTGTCGAATGCGTCCGACTTCAATTTATGACATGACCTCTCTGTGAGGGAGGGGGCGTGGGGGGTGGGTGGCACACAGTCGAGGGCTGCCTGCTGGGCAAACCCAGTGCTCCGTCATCCAACCGTTCATGCATCCATCCAGCCGCTGGTCCTGGTTCATTCGTTACGTAATTCATTTATCAGTTCCTGCCTTGCTTCCTTCGGTATAGTTTATTCAATATGTGTCTTTGCTTCTTCCTTTCATATCCATCCATTTCCACGCCATCGTCTGTTCGTTGGCGGAGCATTCAATCAACCATTCAACCATCAGTCAATCAGTCAATCAACCAACGAACCAACCAACCAATCACTCATACATTCATTCATTTATTCATTCGTTCACGCATTTGTGATTTTGTTGATTCCTTCGTTCCTTCACTCAGTCAGACAATCGTGCAGTCGTTCGAACAAAGTTGCTTTGCAACAACTTGTCCTCTGCTGTTTGTTTTGATACTGAAGTTGCCCTTGCAGACGCGGATAACAGGTTGATTTCGAATTGCAACATCCTTGAATGTTTGCTCGAGTCTGGGCGCTTTGTCTATTTTTTGGCAGGCCTCGTTTTGTACACACCCATTAACGTTTTCATGCTTTGGTGGCTTCTAGAAACAAGCACTTTACTACATGGGGCATGGATCGAAGGGCAGAGACGAATTATCAAGTTGATCCGATAATGCTGGACCGTGTAGATGTGATCCTCCATGCCGGTAGCCTTAGCAAAAGTGGACCCGTTCCGCCTGGAGCCTTGCCTGCCTCATGCGAGTGTATTTATTTAGGGTCCTACACCAGGGTCCCCTATTTTCGGAAACTCCCATATAACCCCCAAGCCGTGGAAGTTCACTGCTACCCTAAGGCTCCAAAGTAGTTCCTTTTTGGGGTTCATATATAGAATCCTATAAGGTAATCCCAAAAAGGAACTACTATGGAGCCTCTGGGTACACCCTAAATCCCTAAAACCCTTGAGCTGAGGTGGGCACGCCCAGGCCTCAGGTCTGCCCCTGGGCCCAGGGCTGCCTACAGTCATTGAGAAGCCGACACCCAGCCGCAGCAGGGGAGGCTTTGGGCTTTTACGGTCGAGCGCAGGTTTGAGGACTTTTAGGGTTTACGATTGGGTGCACAGAGCTGAAGAGCATCTGCACTGCAGACCCTCCTCAGAACAAAGTTGGGTTCGCAGATGTTTACAGCCGATTCCAGGACATCGAAGCTCCAGAGCGATGCATGGCCCCTGCTGGCGACCCTGCGTCGACCCAGCCGCTGGAGTTCCGGGGCGTAGCTGGGCCTGGCCTTGTAAGCTTTCAGAGTTTTGGTTTGGGCCTTAGGCAGGAAGTTTACGGTCAAAAGGGGTGAACTGCGCCTTGTGGTTGTTTCAGATGAGAATCTTGCATGTTCTTGACGAAGATGATGCTGTAGAGTCAGCATAGATCTGGAGGTTTTGAGGTACATTATCGGTTGTGTCAGTGATGCCGTAGATTCCGACATTTGAGGGCCATGTGATTGCATCCGCACGCCATGCAAGTCCTGCAGCAGGCACGAGCAGTTTCTCATTCGTACTTTAGGGGCCTTATAATGACTACACACTACTATACTTCAGGGGCTCCTTGCCATAATTATAGTATCATGGGCACCAAAATCCTCTTCAAGGCTCCTGTATTACAGTACCCTTATAGAGGTACTTATATAAATCCCTTATAGTAATCCTTTTGAAAAGACCCTTTAAAGGAGCCCTATTCCAATTATTTCAGCCCGGAAGCTTCAACTCCAAAGGCCTGCTGGCGTTCAGCAGCCGACGGCACGGACTCAGAGCTGGCAGCCGGAAGCCCTGTACTCCTGAGCACTAGCGGCATGTCTTCGTCTCTCCTATCTCCATCTCTCCCGCTCGCTCTCTCTCTGTATCTCTCTGTTTCTCTTAGATGGAAGCCTGACTGTCTCCGAAAGATGTTCCTCAGGATCTACATATTGCTATGATCTACCACAAAAGGCTCCTACATCAGTGGATGCAGATGGAGAGTCTCCCCATCTGAGCTATTCCGCTGGAGCAGCGAGGAGAAATGTCGACGGAAAAGAAGCCCGGGCTCTGCGACGAGGCCAATTTAAGGCCTTGGAACACAAGTGCCAACGGCAGCAACACCGGCAACGACAGCTAAACAGCGGAGGAGCTTCTCCTGTCCTAATCCTTCTGTCACACCAAACCCCGCTTAACAGAACTTAAGCTCGGTCTTTGCGGAAAAAGAGTCGATGTTCTAGTTCGGGGCTTCGGGTTCAGGCTGCACTGCCCCTCTCTGTTTTCGGCTCTGGCTTCCGAATTCCGAGCCTTCCGCAACTCTTACGCCCAAAGCGCGCCTCGCCTGCAGGGGGGGGGGGGGCGCGCTGGGTTAAGGTTTCAGACTTCTGCGGGGTCTAGTACAATACAATATCACGACGCACATGTACATTGTTTATTTGGTGTTTTGTTCACTTATTTGGTATTTTTACATACATGCAGAACATAACATAACATGACATATGCAGATATAAGAAGTATGTATGTGTATCTATATCTAATATATATATATATATATATATATATATATATATACATACCTACTACACACACTCACACCTGGTTTTCGCGACGTCTTTCTAAGATTGAAACATTGGTAGAAAGTGCAGCTATGACCTCTGTGACACTACGACTCAGTAGTTTTATGGCTGCCTTCGACGTATTGGAGGCACGTCTATCGGCTGAGGTTCATATCCCCGCGCCGCACCATGCGGACCTTATCCGGGCTGGTGCTGCTGGGGTCCACTCGTTGGGCGCTGACGCAGGCCTTAGCTTCGTGCATCCCGGAAATAGGGGCTTATCTTCCTCATTGCATCTAGTTCTTATGCTCACGTCTCGTGTGCAACCAGAAGGCCGATGTGTTTGCAAACTAGTTCATGAGATCGCCTGTGTTTCGAGGTTCAAGCTCTTGCTGTCGTCAGTACCTCACTGGAAGCCCGAATTCAGGTCATGCTTGACTGGGCTGTTTTCGCACCGATGTCTGACCTCATGTCTTCCAGAATCTTTACCACGACTCCACAAGCCTGAGCTTTGCTTTAGCTAAACCATGCAGAGTGACGTTCGCCCGCTATGCTGGTGAGGAGCTATCTCAGGAGCTTTGCTTCGATGGCCTGTGCCATTCTGTGATGGAAGCATGGCTGATTCGAGGGTTGCAAAGGGTGGCATCTAGTGTGTACTTTGTTTCCGGGCGTGTTCTTTGAGCTTTGTGGTTGGAGGGCACGCGGCTCGGCCTCAGTACGGGTTCAAAAGGAAGGAGGTTTGCACATCCGGCTTTGCAGATGCTAGCCAAATTGCTTTATGCAGGCCTGACATATGTCATCCAGCGGTTGGGGGTGGTGCTTTCCGTCACAGCAAGACGAACTCTTCTATGTAGAGCCATCAGATATCCTTTCAGTGTTTCATGGTGTTAGTGCATTTGGTGCTCCTGCCCGAACCTGCCCGAGACTCCAGTCGCAACCAGCAGGCGCAACTGGCAACGGAACGACATGACTACAGCTGAATCTCCCCAAATCCATTCCGCAGTCCACGTGCGAAAGTTGCAAAGCACCGGGCCAGCTTAGGAAACGGAAGCCGAAGACATGCGCAGCTCGCCTGGAGCAGGAGATGAGGGCTCCGTCTGTGAGTTGGGCCGAGAGTCTGGAAGAGCTGAGAACCACTCCTTGGAATCAACAGACGACGACAGCGAATACTTGAACGACGACGACGGTTTCGACTGCGAGGAGGACGACGACGGCGACTCTAATTACCACGAATGGCACTGGCTAGGACTACGACCACGGGCCCGTGGTGAAAATGGCTACTTCATGTTACTTCTATACGGCTCTGGCGCGTGGCAACAGCAACAGTAACAGTACACGATAGTAGCAGGCAGCAGTCCACATGGTTGCAATTAACTCGGCAAGGGGGAAATCGGAAACGAGCCTGCACCATCGAGCCATATGGCCGTATGCAAGGGAGTGTTGTCATTTGTAGAACTACTTGTCACCATCAGAACAACGTTGCAAAGGTAGCATCTGGCAGTCTTCAAAACCGTGGTAGCGGTGACTGGTGCGGCGACAGGTGCAATTGTCATGATGCCCTCAAGGGAAAGTGCAGATTTATGGTGTTGGTTGTGTTTTAACGGGGCCACTAGGAGGGGCGCCGCCGCAGCATTGCCAAAGTGCAGGCGCTGGGGATTGCTGGGGCCACAGGTCCGAAAACACAACATGAATTGACAAAAAATGCTTTTGTCTGTTGCTCTGGCAAGGCTGCTGAAGTATCATAATAAAGCTCCACAAGCACGCACGCGTGCGCACACACACGCAGACACAAATGCAGTCAGATTGCACAGGCTTGCCACAGAATCTTCCGCGGATTGATTCGCCGTCATACACATTTGTGTGTCTCAGGCTTGGGTTGACGAGAGTACCGGAATTTCGGGTGATCACTCGGACTCTTCCGCCTCTGGTGCCTTTCGGAAACTTCCAAGGAGTGCATTCGTAGGTCCTGAACTGACAGGAGTTTTAGGGGCTCCCCGCAACAAGCCTGGGTGTATCTTGCCTGTTCGGGACTTAAGTGATTATGGCTCTCGAGCTCCGGGCTCCTAAACCCACAAAGCCCGTCCCTGAACTTCACATGAAGCGTAAGCACTTCAACTTCATGGAAAACCGAAAGACCCCGAAAAATCCGTCGATCCGAGGCCTAGAACTGCTCCAGCATCGCGTGTCCAACTTCCACGGCGGCTGGCTGCAACTTTTTTTAGGACACTTTAGTTTATGTAGTCTACCCGGCTCGCTTAGGTTGTTCAATTACTTCTTCTTTCTACGGCTACATTGCTAATTTCCAACACGTTCTGAGCCTGCCTATTTTAAATGCTGAAGGCTTTGAAAAAGAATATGTACCAAGTAAATCTAAGTACGGTTGTATTTATCGGGAGAGGATTTTAGGGTTCGAGTGTTTGTTGCGGCTTCCTGACTGGTCTTTTGGGTGGGGGCGGGTCCAACACCACAGTGAGCGCAGTCTGGCATGATTGACTCATATCGTGCTGAAGCCATGCCGGCACATGGAGTGCCTGCTTATGGCGACAACGGCACTATTGAGCCAGTGTATCCGTTTGCGCACGGTGCAAGATAAAAGCCGTACAATCACCAGGAGGTATGCCACACCGACTTACTGGTACTACTGAGAACAAAAAGTATGGCAACAGCATATTGAAAGGCACGTGTGGCAGATGTGTTGTCATCATATTCTGTCTCTGGGAGAACCGACGAAGCAGTCCTTCGCCACAGCAACCTCGTAGTAACGAACTTTATGTTACCTCAGAGCCCTCACGGTAACTTGAGGTCCCCGGCGGAACGCGAGCCTTTCCTCGACCTCGGCGGGAACTCCCGGCACCGTCGCAGCAACGTGGACGCAGAAGATGGATGTTGAAAGTGTCGGCAGGAGCTTTATGTATCCTAAACCCTACAAACTGGGCTGTGTCCGAGTTGCGAGAGCGTAAACCCTTAAAGCCTCGCAACTCGGAAAAACCCCTAAACCCCTCAACCCCAAATCCTAAACCGTAATGCTGCCCTCGGCCCTGGCATGACATAAAAGGCTGCTAGAGCGCCTCGGAACATCTCGAAACTCTATTTCGCCTTCTCTCAAGAAAACCTTTCCCGACCTTAGGCCTTACCGACACCTAAATGGGAGTTCCCGAAAATTAGGGGTACCTTATTTTGGGATCCTTATAATAAGGATCCCAGGGTACTATATTAGGGTCCCCCTTATTTTCCGAAACTCCCAAATTCCTAGATCACACTTGAGATCGTGTCGGCCCTTGCACGATGATCCAATGCCCCTCCCTTGCCAAGGAGGTTTACACCTTCGGCGCACCGGCGGTCTCCCGCCCAGCAATGCCCGACAAGACACAAGAGGACGGCAGCCTTTGCGTGCTTCAGGCTCTTAAACACTACGCTGTTCACTTTAGGAAGTGCCGTAGAAGGTTAGTTTCCGCCAGCTTGTCTGAGACAAGAACATAGCCTTGACCTGGGAGAGTTGTGGGGTCATTCGTTGCCACTCAGGGCGATTGGCGTTCACGGAGTTTCCGCAGACCATACGGCCTAAGAGTGCAGACGAAAGGTACGTGACCTTCCATGCATCTGCAGGACACGTCCTTCAACAAAGTGGGCTCTGGATTCACATCAGGGGGGCCGAGCGGCCATATACTATACACTGTAACTGAGCTCTCTACACCCTAAACATGGGCTTAGAACCCTGTTATCCAAAATCGTAGACTGTTCCAGTCATAGACTCTTCGGCCCAAAACGGCAAAATGAACACTTGCAAGTCTCCTAAACCCTCCGAAACCTTACACTCTGCACCCTACATGGTAGGTAGGAGGGAAAAAGACCCTGCACCCTATATATATATATATATATATATATATATATATATATATATATATATATATATATATATATATATATATATATATATATATACATACATATATATATATGTATATATATATATATACATACATATATACCCTTAACCCCAAACGCCTCTGGCGCTTCGTCGGAGGACCAATGTTTCCGCGGCCTGCGAACCTTTACGGCCACTCAGCTGATCCGGCGTGCTCGACCAATACTGCAAATTGGTAGAGCTTGTTCCGTACGGTGGTTATGGCTTGACAATGCATCTAGTGAGACTTGTGAAGATAAGAGCCATCGGGGAGACACACGTGCATACACTGTGCATAGAATGAAGGATGTCGGCATTCAGGCATCGAAGATACTGCGGTTCTTTCGCTTTCCGTGAAATGCTTCTTTGCTTTACCTGGCATGGTTTCACGAAGCGCATTCGCATGGGGGTTTAGGGCGGATGCGAACCATCATGTTGGCATTTTACGGGTCTGTCGCAAGTAAGGCAGGAGTCTGTTTCCCCAAATTCAAAAACTTCGCAGCACTTGAGCCGCTTGGCCGACACTAACAACCCCAACGAACTTTTCAGCCCATTCGCTTCGGAAGCGTTTCCTTGAGGAGAACAAGCTTCCTGGGGGTGGTCGGCAAGTCGATGCGGCGTCCATCTTTGATGCTGCTGGCCTGAAGCCTTTAAGGCTTTGCAGGCTTTCAAGGACATTTGGGATGACGGCTTTCGGGGTTTCGGCTTGAAGGTGGGTCTCGGCACATGATTCAGGCGCGTGGCTTGGTTCTTCTTCTTCTTCTATCAGAGGTGGATCGCTGAGGGAATGCCCAATTATCCAACTGATCATCAGTTAAGTGTAAGAGCTCATCAAATTGTATAAGTTGCAGACCCTAACAAGAAGTTATATCATGCGTTCCGTTATATTCGAGTCCTGCTGAGCTTAATGGCTGTCAGCTGCCAAACTTACTGACTTGTCGTGCATGGCGTCCTTTGAGACTTGTAAACAACACGAGCACTGTGCCCTCCCCGCATCAATCGGTGCTGAGCGCGTCTTGCGCGCTTGCTCTTCCGAGCCCATCGTGACTGGGATGGACAGCTGAGGCCTATGCACATCCGATCATCCCCACCCTTGCTTTGGACTGGGGGCAGGCCTCGGGCCAGCTTCCTCTCTGAACCTGTGATATCATGTCTGTCTGTTTGTCTGTGTTGATGGGCGCCCATGCATGTACTTGCAGACCGAAATGCGTAGAAAGGACTCCTACTACGTCCCTTGCCCGGGAGATGTCACCTGGCCGAAAGGCCGGGCGAAGGAACTCCATTGATATTGCTATGCTAATTATGACTCACTTATAGTGATCATTGTTGTGATTATTGTTTAGTATGGTCATTTTTGGTCTTAGTAATGTTGTCTCTGTCGTTTTTGCTTGCGGGAGTGTGCTTCTCGGAGTCTGGCAGCACTTGATATAGAGGAAACGAAAGAGGTGTGAAGCTTCGGTTCAGCTTCAGGGGGTTTCGCACAACCTCAAGAAGTTGTTCAAGATTTCCACTCCTTTCAAACAGGCTTGCGTAGTGATGTAATTTCTACTTTGCTGGACTGCTTATGGCATCTTGAGAGATCTGCAAAGCGTCGCGGATGTCTCGCCAAGAAGTCTTGACATGCATCCAGCCAGCCAAGTCATGCTGACCCCTCCTGTTCCGAAGCATCACCATTCAAAACGAAAGACAATACTTTGGTATAACTTGATAATATTTGAGAAAATTTGATATATTTTGATATAATTTGATATAACTTTAGATATAACTTGATACAAGTTGATATAATTTGCTTATTTGCTTCGGTTGTTCCCTGCCGGCCGGCGCTCTTTCGCAGGCGGTGCTTCTGATTGGGGCCTCCACTCAGAGACGCACTACGCGCCAAGGCTCAAGGAGCGCCTGCTCTCCTCAACGCCTCAGTAGATAGGGTATGATAGGGTCCCCTTTTTGGTACCCTAAATAATAGGTGACCCAAAAAGGGACCCTGATTTCGCCCAAAGGTGCGTCCTAAACCCCTAGACCCCCAAAAGTAGGTAAAATAATGGCCCAAAACCTATAGAAGGCTATTATTCTACATACTTTTGGGGTCCAGGTACACCCTTACACCCCTAAACGCTATCGTTGGTTTGGGTTGCACTGGACGTGAAGATTGGGTTCGGGTTTCTTTGATCGGGCATCTCCTGGCGAGCACTCTGTAGGCCCCTGTAAAGGACCCCTTAAAGGAACCCCCGTTCTACCTGTACCTATAGTCTCCATTGTAGTTCTGTTTTGCTTAACCAACTTTCTATGGTTAGGATCCTAGAATATAGTTCTTGGTTAACCAAGAAAAGACACTACCATGGAGACTTTAGGTAATGATGAAGGCCCAGTAAGTCTGGAGGCGTGGAGACTAAGGCTCCCAAAAAAGCACATCAGCAAAAATCGGGACAGGGACATCCCATATAAACCCCCTTCTAATGAAGCCCAATAAGGTAGGGATATCCCTATGAAATGCTTATGCTTACGTGCTTTCTGGGGTCCCTATAAACCCTAAGTCATGACTGGCCCTTTAGCATGTCTCACATCGTCAGACTCCGAACCATATGCCTCGCCTGGTTTTGTCCGAGTGTGAGCGCCGAAACCCTACCTGGCCAGGCTCCGAGTGTGAGTGTCAAAACCCCTAAACCCCAAAGCCTTGAACTGGCACAAGTGAGAATCGTTGCAAAACTCTTTTCACACCGACTCCGCACCTAAGAACCTCGCCTGGCTGTGTCCGAGTTGTGAGAGCGTAAAGCCTTGAAAGCACCCATTCTACTCCGAAGCAGCATTTGAGACGCCAGGAAGTCACCATCGAGGGGAAGGCGATGGCGGCTGAGGAGCCCTTTGCCATGGCCAACAAGATGGTACGGGCCCCGTTTTTTTAGGGGTTTGGGGTTTTAGGATTTAGGGCTTTAGGGGTTTAGGGGTTTGTGGTTTTAGGGTTTTAGGGTTTAGGGTTTTAGGGTTTTTTGGGATTTAGGGTTTTAGGGTTTTAGGATTTGGGGGTTTAGGGGTTTAGGGTTTTATGGGTTTGGGGTTTAGGGTCTCGCCTTGTTCGGAGAACAGGTGCGACACATCCAAGCTGGATTCACAAGCCTGTACGGGTTGGGGTTTTAGGGTTTAGGAGTTTAGGGCTTAGGGTTCAGGTCCAACAAAATGGTGCGCCCCCCCTTGTTTCGAGGAGCCCAAAGAAACACTGAAGAGTACATTAACATCTTCAACGGCGCATATGTATATAATTCAATTACATTATACATGTGTATACATAATATATATATATATATATATATATATATATATATATATGTGGTATAGACATATTTCTGGGGTTCGAGCAGCTGGGAACTGAGGTCACTCTGGCGTACAAGAGTTACGACAGTGTGGCAAACACCAAGAAGGAGCTGTCTCTTTTCTTCTTCCCAGCTGGCTGCAGCATATTCAATTGAAGTACATCGACATGACACTTTCAGAGCACAGGTTCCAGTGGAGTTATTGGCTTGCAAGGTTGCGGCTGCTTGGATGCAGGTTTTCATGTCGAGCCAGGTCAGAAGGAGTCCTCTTGGTGAGTTCTGGAGCATCCGTCTTCGAGTTGTAGCCGAAACACATCGGCTCAAGGCTGTCTTGAAGCTTACGCAAGAAAAGTGGTGCGTAGCCATCGCAGCCATGGGGACCTGCCACGCGCGTGTGCAGCAGGCTGGGCTGCAACAGCTGTGCTATGTGCCTATGCAGGGTTTTGTCGGTCCCCACAGCCAGTGCAACAGACGGAGGCCCCTCTGACCTGTTATTGTTGAACGTAGCTCTCCAGTCTCTTTGGGCCAAAATTTGCAATGTGATATTGTGTTGAGTTAAGCATGAATCAGACGTGCTGTTTGTTGTTCCTTCCACCGAGATGCCATATGACCCTGCCCTCGACAAGCCCATCATTGCCGCTCGGCTGAGAAATCATACAGGGGGCGAGTAATTAGTGGATTCAGCAATGTATTTGATGCTGTTTGCCACGCAGTGCCAAGCCTGTCTCTGAATTCTAACTCCACACCCCATGGCCCAGACGTACCATTTGGTTCCCAACAGAGACCCTCAACTCTAAAACGCAACAGAGCCTTCCTGGCGTGTCGGTAAGGACCGGATCCATGCGCAGCTGCGGCAGGCGGACGCCTACCATCGGCCCGTGCAGCAGCCTGCAAAGCTATGTGTGGCCTGGCCCATCGTTCATTGCTCAGGTGATTATGCTTTTCCAGTTATCTACTGTATCTATCCATCCATCCATCCATCCATCCATGTATATCTATACCCGTAGTCATCATTATGAACTCATTAAACGTGAGATTCATTAAATGTGAGATAGATAGACAGATACCTACCGGAACACCTACCTTACCTCACCTTACCTACACACATACATACTTACATTATTGGGGAATTACATACTCATACACACCTGGCATGGGGTATGGCCTTTCTCGAAACATCGCTTCGCGTCCTTCGTTCCCAAGAGTTCCCCTTGCGAGCTCCGGTGTCCCTTGAGGACTGGGGACTCTACCTGGGCGGTATGCAGGATGTCACGGATTGCAAGAAGATGCAGGACCGCAGATCACAAGGCTCCCAATGTCTCGACTTGAGCCGTAGCTCCTCGTTCTGACAGGATCTCGGAATCCGCGGCATTGCTAATGTTGCGTCTTCGGTGTGCAGCTTGGGCTTGGCAACAGCGGTGGAGTGACGCGCTCGCCGCGATTTTGCTACTGATGTCGTCGGAGTTGGTATTGTCACACCAGCCGTCATTTTGACATTTACGTCTTGCCAACCGTCAAGTGGCATCTGCAACAGTCCAGGCATCTACACACCGCGTGGGGAAGTGCCTGCGGGGGACATGCGGATTCTGCACATTGATGCCGACGATGTGACTGGGACAGAGAGTGGATGGAGGTTGGCTTTGTCCTTTGTTTCCAGCTCCGGAAATGTTGTAGTAATTGTAGTAAGACTTTGCTCACACCGGCTCACTTGAATACTCTCTCCCAGCCAGTCGTCACACAATAGACCCAAAACGCGAAACCTACCACTGGAAGCAATGAGGGAGGCAAGAGACCCTGAACAGGGAAGTGCAATGGGTTTAGGGTGTAGAGTTTAGGCCTACCGAGAAACTGTGGCTCAGGATGACTGGTACCCCTTGCTCGAGAAGCACTTGTGTGAGTTTGAGATGCTGCCTGGCAAGTGATATAGGTGCTTGAATCATTACCAATACTATTTGGGTTCCTTATTATAAGTATAGTATGATGGGCCCAAAAATGCTGTTCTTTGAAGTTCCATCAAAAGGTCCTGTATTGCCTCCCACAAGAACCGGATCCACTTTGCACTTTCCAAGCTGAGCCAAGGTTCATCCAGAAAGCCAAGGAAGATGGTGTCAAGCCGCTCGCCTCAAGCGGTGGCTATCAGAGTTGCACCTGCCACCGTGAGTTCCAGCGATGCGTTGCGACAGCATTCTTTCGGGATGCCATCCTCCTTTCTCTCACATTTGCATCCAGCCTTGTCTCGAGAATGTTAGCAAGCTGCTAGCAGAAGCCCTTCAAGCCTCTAGGCAAAGGAAAGCATGAATTTCGAAATACCAAAAGCAGCAACGAGCCCATCTGCCCAACAAACTCCTGAGCTATGTGGAGCCTTTCCTGCCTCGTGCGAGCGTGAGCATCGAAACTCCTGAGCCCCAAAGCAAAGGACAGTGGTTCACTGCAAGGCCGGCCAGAACCGGAGCGCGGCCCTATGTGCTGCTCTTGGATGCCACAAGTGATGCAGGGGCTTAGCGGATTCTTCGGCTGGAGTAGGTAGACTTGTGTACAATTAATACGATCCAAGTGTGTGCTTGTCTTGTGTCACCTGTATGAAAATAACTATTGACCTACTAAGAAACCCTAAACCCTAAACCCTAATAGCTGCTCCTGCGATCCGCGCCAACCCATTTGCTTGCGGTTCCAGCCTTTCCTTGTTTGTCGACTTTGCCGTCCACGGCAAGAGGCTCTCCATTTCTGCGCCTCCTAGCTGCTTCAGGTTCGAATCTGCTTGACCCCGAGCCGCACAATGCAATCTTGTAAAGCTTTTCGTACAGAAGGTATGCAGTGCCTCAGAATCTCCAACATACTCTCTGACGAGTTCAGACCTGCACTGCATCGCAGCTGCAATCGTGCAAGGTGCTGCTTACCTGATTCACACTGAGCGGATGAAGCTGATGGACGCCACTTGGTCAAGGATTAGGCAGCTCTTCCTAGACTTAGTTTGCTTGCTGCAAGCCTGGGCTCAGAGCTTTATTTGCCCCGAAGCCACAAGTAGGATCTTTGTCAAGCCTTGCAGACAGCCACCAACATGTGTGAGAACAAGCTTAGTCTGGAGCAAGGCTCCGAAAGCGGACGGAGCTAACTCTGTTGCTGCTGTTTCGATGCCTGCTTTGTCCGCGCATTGTTCAGTACAACTACCACTTGCGATGATGGACCACAGTTTTTGGCATTTCTGTTGATGGAGCCGCCAAAGATCGAGGCAATCCAGCTTTTGGTGGAACGACGTGGCCGGGTTCTCGAAGAGTGGCCAGATATTTTGGGCTTCGGGTGTTCCTGGTGCCGGTGTCTTTGCTTCAGGACCAACTTCCGGATCTAAATGTTCGACGTGCTATCTCCGAAATTCAATAATAGCTCTTCTAAACTAAGAAGACACTGTAGCTATGGAGATTGTACTGTGTCCGAAACTACTCCAGGCAGTGCAAGGCGGACGCGCGATCGTCTAAATAGATAAAATGCTCTTCTAAATTAAGAAGCCCTATAACTGTGGAGATTGCGTCGTGTCCGGAACTCCAGGGGGTGCAAGGTGGACGCGTCATCATCCAAATATGTAAACGCTCTTCTAAATTAGGAGAACAGCTTGGCTATGGAGATTGTGCTGCGGCAGCCAAGGTATGACCCTATACAACTAGTCTAATCCGAGCTCAAGTCTACAGCAGTATTCTCCTTGAGACCCGTCGTGCAGACTTGCAATCCAATAGCCGCTTGTGTAGATCATGTGCTTGTGTATGTCATGTCAATGTATGTTAAGCCACGAAGCATGCCATAAATATTGCATGGACACGTGCACACGACCAGCGCACTCAGAACATCTCTGTAGCCTTAAAGACCTAGCTGGACCAGTTGTCGTGGAGTCTTACCTGCCGTGTACGAGTTGCGACAGTCGAAGTGCTCTACCCCGTGCGCGACGGAAGACAAGCAGAGGCAAAACACCAAAACGCATGCCTTAAACCCTTCCCCGAACTTGACTGCACTCTAAAACCTAAATCCTCAGGAGACATGGCGCAGTCTGAAATCTCAAGCTTGAAAATCCAAGACCCGCCTGCCTTGTGCGAGTGTGAGCGTCGAAAAGCCCAAATCCGAACCTACTTCAGGCCTTGTGCCAGGCTTGTGCGAGAGTGAGTGTCAGAAAAGCCCAAAAGCCCTGACTCCGTAGGTCTCGTTCTCACGAACTGCCACTTTCTCCGGGAGTTGGTCCAGCTTGCAAGAGCGGAGCATCTCTTGGATTAGCTCCGAGGAGATGGGTTGAGGGCACCTTAATATTCAGAACGCAAATAATCATAATCATGAGAATCATGATAGGGCCCTAAGAAGCCAATAGGGATAGAGTTTGTGGAACATTTTGTACTATGTTTGCAATATGGAGCTCTGAGGAAAGATGCCAGTGAGATAATTTCGACTTCTCTTGAACGTGAGTTGGCACTTGTTGCGATTCTGCATCCCTGATTCGGTAGGCTCTACGTACTAAGTCTCTTGATCCTTCCAGCAGAGTCGGTAGATTTCACAGGGTTCAGGATGTTGTTTTACACAACACGAGAACAAAAATCATCGTACCAGTGAACATAGAAATATCAATGATGATCGTATTTATCATGGCCTTGAAAATACTAGCCATCACATGAATAATAAGGACAGCACTAATTTTTATTGTCTCGGGCAAGACTAGGAAAAATGCGTAGAATCTCTGCAGATACGGCCGCGACAGGAGCTGTGGAGTCTGCTTCCAATTTTGCCCCTGAGCCGTTGGCGCTTCAGTAGATTTGCAACATCTGTTTAAAGGGCTTGATTGTTTGGGGTTTGGGGTTAGTAGGTTTGCACATCTGTTTGCCGGGCTGGTAGAAAAGTGTTGGGAGGTTGCACATAGTTTTATGATGGTGTGTGTGTGCGAACTGCTTCATATGGGTTTACAAGGTTTGCAATTGTTTTTTTTGGGGGGGGTGTATCAGGGTTTCGTTGAAGGGTATTTGCAAGGGTAATACAAGTTTGCTTACCGTGTCCGTGTTCTATGACACTATGATTTCTACAGGCACATTCCATTTCTGCCAGTCTTGTTGCGAGGGCTCTGCAAGATTGCATCGGGTTTCATCCACCTTCAACGGGACATGTAGGAAGGATTGTAGACCAGGGGGGTCTATATCATGGTGCCCTGTTGTCTGAAACTCCAGCATTGCTGGTCACTTACAAACACGTGTCGTTTAGATAATCCTGTGCAGGGTAAGACTACTAAGCAGCGACTAAGAGCTCATCACTAGCTCATCCATGATGTTGGGCATCAGCCCCACCATCATATCGTCAACTGAAGCCCTAGTAGCGAAGTAAAGCCATCTCAATCTTGGTCTTTATATCACTATCGCTACGACTTTCGGATTCGTAATCATTGTCATCCGTTCCTCTGCTGCGTAACGACGCCGACAGGCCCCGGGTAAACTTTCGATGCGGACCCACTTGCGACCCGCGGTTTGCGGTTATACTGAAAAGGTGGCCGGGGGTTTTTGAGGCTCTGAAGATATTCCAGAAAACCCTCGTCCCCACCAGTTTCCTGACCGGTCCTGCACTCCGATAGCTCGCAACATCTGAATTGAATTCATCTGGCCACTGCACTGCATGACAAGCACGGATGCGGACCGATCGCCTGTTTAAGCTCTGGGGCGCTCGGATGCCCTTGCACTCTCATCTTTTTAATTGATCCGGAAGCTTTAAGAACTGCTTGGATGATTGTGTCACGATGTGTTTAATAGGTCTGCACTTCAGGCATGAAGCCTGCTGCTAATCTCGCAGTTGACTCATTGATCGTATAGTGTGTGCTTCCCATTTAATTCCAGGTGCTTGGTCTTTTTCCGGCACCTGATGTCCTGCGCAGCATATTTAACCCCGAAAGCTCGTGTGACACAATCCTTTCGAAGCCTTTGATGGGCAACCAGTGCGCCAGAAAATTCAACTAACTAACGATAACAATACACCCAATACTGATATTGACTAATGAAGATCTGTACATGGTTTTAAGCCTGAAGCTGATGCTTGCTGTGCATGTCCATACAAGCCTCACGGGTTAAAACAACCTAACCTCTGCCCACTGCTCACCATGGCCTGGACAATGCCTGGCAGATATAACAGGTCATGAGCGATAATCTCGGACACCCGTAGGCAGGCTTGCGTTGGCTGGTACTTTGTTCGTCGTCGAATTGCCATGTCTGTCACATTCTGTTTCCTACTGCGGTCAGATTAAGCTACGTCTGGCATGCTATGAGTTCTGCTATCCTCCCACTCCTCACAGTCCCGTGAACGTTGCAGGAGGAATGTGTCGTTTGGCATCCGCGAATGGAAAGCCGGGAAGGGCTGTTTGCCCCAAGGTCGCTGTGAGATCTTTTGAAGTCGAGCACGCCTTGCGACCCTGTTTCCGTAACCCGTACTTGTTTCGTGGTGCCGCAAGCTCCGTCCACCTACATGCGGGACCCCCTCTTTCCCAATCTAGAATACAGCCTTCGTGCTCTACGATCCATGGTTACTCTCGTAACTCTAATAGTTACTCAGGCTCGAACTAAACCGGGGGAAATGTTTGAGGTTCAACGGTGGGCACCACGCCAGTTTTGCTGAAGCCATCATGCACAGTTTCGTGCGAATGCTTGGGCGAAGGGCGGTCGATGCCGTTCATCCTAGTAACTCCCACAGTCCCCCATCGCTAAACCACAAGTCAGGCCATCTCTGGCCTGACTTAGGGTGAGTTTGGGCAAGGCTGTCTAAGCATAAGTGGGACACTTCTCCCCCGGGGCCCCGGCCACAGCCATATTTGCAAGTAGCCATGGGATGCAGCACCTCTGAAAATTTGGGATTTCCCAATCCAGGATCGCCCAGCCCTCCGATCCGTCATTGCCCCAAAGACATGGAACCTCGCAATTCAGGCCCTTTTGAGCCCTAAACGACTTCTGGGTCAAGTTGGGCGCATCCTGGTCTTGGGAAGCTCACAAGAAGCTGCTCTGGGGATGCGGACTCCTGCCAGCTAGGCACGCAAGTCTCCATGAGTCATAAATGTATTCTTAAATGTGCACAAACCGTTCACATTAAGATCTGTGCGTCCGCCTATGTTAGAAGAGTTCCTCACACTGCCCTGGAGACCCAGTTGCGAAGGAAGAGCCGCAAGGCATGCACTTGCGAGTCAAGGATTTCGGAAAAAGACAGGCGCGCGCCTCAAATGCAGATCGGAGCGCGCTGGCTCCATATGTGTATATATATATACACATATATTCATAATATGCATGTACACACACACACACCCTCACGCGCACATTCTTGCTGGAGAACATCGTTTCGCGGCCACCCTTCCAGGTGTCCCGCGGGGATCTAAATGGCAGTAGCCATGGAGTAGACGCGAGTTTGTTCCACTTCGCCCTGCTGTCGATGTATCAGCCAAACCCAAAATCCACAAGCCCCGAACTCCGTGCCGCTGTCCTTTCGAGGAGCTTGCCGAGAAGCTGCCGGAGTGGCGCCTGGTCGATCGGCATGTTTTTGAGCGGCTTGCTTGCACAGCTTCGGCTTTTCTCGGGGCTGCTATATACGGTACCATTTGCGACATGTCATTTGTTACAATCACACGGTATCTGCAACGTGTGAAACTTGAGTTGTGCGCGCGCGCACGTGTGTGTGTGCGTGTGTTTATACATCCGTATAACATTCATGTATAAGAACTGTGTTAAGCTGTCTGAAACTTACTCATATATTTACACTTGGCTCCTCAGTGTGAGTCTGTGATATGGGGGTGGCTTTCTCGGACCAGGTTACAAAAGTCGAGATCGAGAGCGATGGAAGTTGCAAGCATGAGAACATCACTTCCAAAACCTTGTCACCACCACCATGCTGTGATGCACCAGCCTTTGTCCGTGTGACCGCGCCTCCGAATGTGTGTACAATATACGAATGCGCATGTCCCCGCGTCTGCGCGTGCACGAACATGTGCACTCAATGTTTCGTTTGTTTTCGGCAAGTTGACAGTTCAGCACCATGCATGGGCATTGTTGTTTGGCCGATTTGTTCGAAGGTGGACGAGTGGCTCCTACGACGACGACCCAATCCTCGTCGCTCAAAACAGCACCTCGACATGCTAGTCTTGTGCTTGTGCCCCAGCCTGAGGTGGCTTTCCTTTCGCTGCTAAGTTGTTACTGTACCAGAATGATGCTGATGCCTACATCTGCACACGCTATAGTATGCATGTCTGCCCGTCTGTCTGTTTGTTTGTGCGTATGTGTTCAATGATGTTAGTTCAGACGATGACACCAGTCTCCCTAAAACCGAACACTCCGAACGTAAGAGCCCCTAGCAACCAACACCCCAACAACACCAAAATGCTCAAGCCCAGAAGCTAGCAGGTAAGAACTTAGACTGTGCCCTCGTCTTCACTGGGACGAACACCTTCGGCGAGCTGGGTTCGTCCGTGAAGCGCGGAGCTCACTCGGGGGCTTGTGTGGACGGTGCCAAATAATGCGGATCCAATGCTTCTGTCGGGGCTAACGGCTCAGGGAGTACGTCATACTTACCAGGGTTAGTTACCAAGTTTTGGGAGGTTTAGGGTTCTTGCTTCTGGGGTTCAGGTTCTGTTTGCTGAAGCTGTAGGGGTTTGCAACGGGGGTTTCCTTGCCCTGCATGCTTCCAGAAGCTTCTGCAGAAGAGATGTTTAGCCTCACCTTCAGCAGCCATTTGACGTTTGGGTTTGGGACCGTTTCCTCACCTCAAAGTCAGGAGCTTGTGGCCCTTCGGCTCAACATGGATCCAGTCCGTGCGTATCAGGGAGTCGAGAGTTTTCGCTGCAATGCCTTGCGTGTGAGTCAAGAGCATAAATGGGAGTTTCCAGAAATAAGGGATCCCAATAGTATTACTAAATAGTAGGATCCTTACTATAAGGACCCCAAAATAAGGTAACCCTAATTTCGGGCACTCCAAAATGGCACAGGTTCCGCTGCTCCGCTCGAAGCCCCAAAATCCGGATTCAATTGAATGGGCCATGCAGGCAGCACCTGACGGGTTACTGCGGCTTCGACCAGGCTCGCCAGGGGACTTGAGCCTGAGCCTGGCCTTGTCAGCCCAAATGGGAGTTTCTGAAAATTTAGGGGTACCTTGTTTTCGGGGTCCTTGTATTGAGGATCCTACTATTTAGGGTGCTATATTAGGAACCCCTATTTTCGGAAACGCCCAAATAAAACTCAACGGGGCCGTTGTCCGTCTTTGGGTTTATAAAAGCT